TCTGCATCTATAATACTACCAGGGAAGCTAAATTGCTTCACAATTTTTAAAACTTGACCTCCTGGTGTTACTGGGGTGCTGCCTTGGACCCTGCCAGCTTGCATTAGCTTGGTCTTATCTTCACTCATTCTTAAGGTCACTTTATCTACCTCTGTTGCAACTGTCCATGTCGTGTCTCTCAGCTGTGCGGTGGTATTTGCAAGTAGAGCAATGTCATCAGCAAAATCCAGGTTGGTCAAATTGCCTTGTTCTTGCCGGGGAATGCCAAAGTCTGGGTTCTTCATTGCTTTTTTCATGGTATAATCCATGAGATTAAAAATAAAAAAGGGGATAATACACAAAACTTTCTGACTCCAGTATCAATCAGGAAGAAATCAGTGGTGCCATTTCAGTTCTCACACAGCACCTGGAATTATTATAAAGATTTTTTAAAATGTTAATATATTTCTCAGCAATACCATATGCTTGCAGTTTATTCCTGTTACAACAGATTCAGATAAAAATATACATATATCCAGAATAAAAGAAAATGAACAAGTTTTGCATGAAAATGATAACATAATAGAAATATTTATTATTTTGAACAACTTTATGAGTATATAAATCAGACTTAAATATGATAGACCAATTTTAGGCCAGATACATATCCAGATAATTTCTTAAAAATGTAAGAATTGAATAAGGAAAGAGTTTACTGTACAAGAAATAACAATGGTGGTTAATGGTATGAAAGTATATAAAGGCCCAAGGTGAGATAGTATAACCATGGAATTTTATAAAACCTTTAGTAAAAAATGAATACCAACAGTGAAGGGTTTATTTGATGATATACTTCATAATCAGATATTAGGAGAGTCTTGGAATGATGAAAATATTTTTAGTCCCTAAGGTACAAAATGATGTGGAAAAATAGAGTCATACAGACCAATATTCCTTTTGAATGTGTATAATATTTTGAGTTCTAGCAAATACACTTAAGGTACTGTGCCATGGGGATGCCTATAAGCCTCCAGGCCTAGGATTATGGCTCTCCTGTGCAGGGCAGGAGTGGGTGCTGACAAACTTGGCCTCCCTGCTCCTCCTGCTCTGAAAGTCAATGGACGGATGCTTTTGTGGTGTTTGGATGGGGAGGGAAGAAGGCTGGAGTGCCACCAGGAAGCCCTAGTCTCTTTCTCTTCCCAACCCTTGGTGCAGCTTTTTCCTGCATCAGCTGCAAAGAAGGTGAGGGGGATATGAGTACAGAATCCCTGGTCTGAGGTCAGAACTCTTTTCTGACCTTGGTTCTGGGAATCTGATTATACCTAGGGACCATAGAAACTGCCTATGAGATCATTGCTTTCTACAGTCATAGAAATAATTGGTATAATTGTCAATGCAAATAAAAAATATTTCTACTGTTCCATTTTTTGCTGCTGCCAAAAAAGCATTTGACAATATAGAATGGGTAAATTTAAAGGAAATATTAAAAAGATTTAATTTTGGAGATAAATTCTTTACATTACATCTTCATGTAATGGCCAGCCTAAAGCTAGAATTAAGATTAATGGAAAGTTTTCAAGAGAATTCTTTTTCTGCTCAGAGGAGTTAGACCAGGCAGTGTAAGAATGGAGGAATTAAAATGTCCAATATTAATCTGTATTACCCAATAGTTAGATGCATTGCTTGATTCAATGGTTTACTTATCAGAAACTGATCTGAGACTTAAAACAGCTGTGTGTTCGAACACCTGTAAAAGGTTGGATGTGGAAAAGTTGAGCAGCACGTTTTGATGCTATGTGTGATGCAATGAGGCACATGTGGTTGAAGCTTATGCTGATATTTGCTTCTGGAATGTCTCCACTATTATTAATTTTTTCTTTGCATGATTTTCAGCAGGCTGAAAGTATTATGACAAGAGATTTTAGAAACAGAAAGAATATGTGACTTAAAAAGAAGAGAAAATTTAATGTAAGAGCAGTATGGAAATTTTTCTGTAGACCAGAGACAATGTATATATTGCCTAATGTATTATGTTGGAGCTGCACTCAGGATTTTGCAAATTATAGACATTTGTGGTGGTCCTGCAAATATACCAAAGTTGTTGGGGGGGGGGCAGGTTCTGATTAATGTAATGAAGGGCATAGAAAAAAATTAAAGAAGGCTTTTTGATCCAATAGGTTTATTATTAGGAAAGTCAGTTGAATTGCTCCTTGATCCTTCTTCCATAACTTAACAAAAGAAAATCCAGCACTGGCTGGGAGACCAAAACCCAATTCACACCGTTTCCTGACAGAGAGCAAAAAGGAAACTCTCCTATCATATCATCCATTGTTCTTCCATTTAGAAAAACTTTATTATGATGACTAGCTAGAAGAAACAAGTTTATGCCCGTAGTGGTAATTATACCATCCTTAGGATGTCATTTAATGATGTTATCTAGATTCTGCTAATGAGAGATCATCATAGCCTAGTCTGGCATTGAAGATCCCAGCCACTAAAATATTTGCAGTTGTGTGTGTTGCCCCAACATGAGCAATATATTGTTCTAACCCTTCCCACTGAAGTTCTTCTCTTAATAGCACTTAGAAAGTGGGGGGATAGACTGAAGATAGCCAATTTTACAAGAATTGCCACAGCAATAGCCCCACAGATATGAAGTGTAACTACTCTCACTCCTGAGGAACTGCAGAAAGCAAGCAAAGCAGTCCTAGTGGGCTTCCTCTACTTGTCAAACAAGTTGCTGTCAAAGAAATGACAGAAACCCCTTTAAGGCGCTCACAGGCCAAGGTCTCTTGTGACAAGAATATTAAGAGACTGGATAATAAGTAAATGTTGTCCCCAATTCCCCCCTTCTAGCCAACTATGTTCCATGAAAAGCACCTGATTGGGGGTGATGATTTTCCATTCCTAGTTTATCAGCCAGGGGCATTTAATTTCTCTTGGGCCCCTTCCTGGACAAAGACGACACAACCACTTTTAACAAGTACAATTTGTGCATTATAGACTTGAGAGGAGGATCGGAAATCACAGAGCGTCCCTGTTCATGAGATTCCAAAGCCTCCAAACTTGACCAGTCTTTATGACAGCCAGCAACTGCAGATAGTTTAACACATTTAAATTCAAGTGGAGACCCTTCCTGAGGAACAGATGAACTGTTTTCAGCAGCCCAGGCTGGTTCAATGTCTGAGTAAAGTGCTGATACTTGCAGGGCAGGGGAAAACTGTCTCGTCTGCCTGGCGCAGCAGGCCTTCCTGGTGGAGGCTGATTCTGTGCACTTTCCTTTCTGCCACTTGGAACATTTGCCTCAATCTGGCTAGTGAGATGGCCCTGACAAATGGCTGTCCAGTCTCTGCCTGAATAAATCAAGCAACAGAAAGCCCATCCGTGCTCACAGGCAGCTGATTCCCTTGTCAGGCTGCTCTTGACCATTAGGAAATTTCAGCCAAAGTTTGCCTTCGGAAATGTAAGCCCGTTATTTTCTGGGTGCTGATATCGGACTGGCTGATCTATTACTCTCCTGATCTTTTTGGCCCTTTTTGAACATCTGCCTTCCTCCAGTCTTCCAGTGGTTCACCCATTCTCCACTATTTCTCTAAGATAAAAGAGACCCCCAGGATCCATCACTTGCTCCGTAGATGCAGTTCTTCTGGACCTGGGGATCTGAACACATTTAAGGTGCTTAGATACTCCCTGGCCATCTCTCTGTTAACCTCAAACTCCCTGTGTGTCACTTACGCCAAAAGAGACACAGATCTTTTGGGAGAAGCTTGAGCCAAAATAATTGAGCCATTCATTTTTCCAAAACACCTGCCAGCATATTCTGAGCTATGGTTAATTTTTGCCCTCCTTTTACTCTGAACAAAGCAGAAGGAGCCCTTCGTTATTCTCGGCATACCTCACCAATCATTCAGGACTTTAGCTCTCCGATACTGCCGGGCCTCCAGGGAAAGTTTAGTCCATTGACACTCTGCGTGGTCAAAGAGCTTTGGGATTGGAGCAGTATAAGACTGCTCCAAAGTTGTGCCTGTCTTCCGGTCTTTGAAGATACCCCACCACTACCTCCCGCAGTTATCTCTCTCGCTCCTTCTGCCCCAAACTGCTTGTTCACACTGGATGCGGAACTTTGGCTGCTGGGTCACTTCCAATCCCTCGGCGGGCGTCTCCAAGGGCGCCCTCCCCGTGCAGTACCTTGGAGTGGCTGCTCATGGTGATGCCCCTTAAAAAACGGTATGATACTATGCACAAAAAATGGGAGAGAGAGAAAGGAGGAAGAAAAGCAATAGCGCTAAGTGCTAATGACAAGAGAAGGTAAACTCGCTGGGGAAGGGGGTGCCACTGAAGACGCTTTGCCGAAGCGGCCTCGGCAGTCCAAGGTATTGCATGGCAAGGGCTGGCAGGTGCTTACTCAGACTGTACATCGCGATGACAAGTGTTTTAGTTCTGAGCAGCGGCATGGATTATACCAGCATTATGTTTTAGGAATAAATCTGTACAGTCATGAGATATCGAACAATGCAATGAGAGAGAGACGTTCTTCATTTCGCAAGGTGGCCACAGTCGTATAGGTACTTTGTGCAGTTAATATTCATGAAGTGGGCGTGGAAGTGGCGTCGCATAGCGAAGACCGCGGAAAAGACTCCTCCGCTCTACAGCATGACCACGCCCACTCCTCCTTTCAGCCTCGTGCCCGATAGTAACCTCGGCCACACCTCCTGCTCCTGCCCCCTCCCTGCCTGGCTCTCTCCTGTCTTAGGACAGCCAATGAAAAGCCAAGAACCGCCTCACGCTCCGGAGACCGCCCTTCTTTCCCAATAGGAAATGGCTTCCCCTCACTTTCCAACAAGCTAGAAGCCGCCCTCACGTGTGTGCGTGAGGGGAGGGGGGTTGGAGAGGGCGTGGATAACCTTTGCCTCAGTTAAGCGTCGAAATCCTTGCTCCGCCCTTTCCCCACCTGTTAGCCAATGAAAGGCGGGAGCCGGGACTCTCGCGACCAATAGGCCTGGGAGGAAAGCTACCCGGGGTGCGGTTTAGATGTGGGGGTTGCCGTGGCGGTGCCGCCGCTGCTGTCGCCTGGCTCGAAGGGGCAGCGGAGCGGGTCCGGTTGGGTGGCTTGGCGGAGAAGATGGCGGAGGAGGGCGGCGGTGCTAGCGCCAGCGCGGGGACGGGGTTCCGAATAGGCGTCAGCCTGGCGGAGATAGCGGAGTCGTTGGGCTCGTCCGAGCAGGCGCTGCGCCTCATCCTGTCCATCTTCATGGGTGGGTAACGAGCGGTGCCGGGCGACGGGACGGACGGGACGGGACGGAGCGGTGCCAGGAGGGAGGCAACGAAGCCTGCTGTCCATGTGCGGGGCGAGGGGGACCCATCCGCGCACGAGGCGAAGGAGAAAGGTGACCATTGGCCGCTGCAGCGGTGCCTGCTAGAAGGAGGTGCCGCAGCTCACAGATGGTCCGTGTAGCCCGAGGAAAAGCCGCACCTGCCAAAATCCCCCTTCCTGTGTGCACCGTTACGTATTGAAAATGGAACCTCCACCTCCAGAGGCAGCGTGCCTTTGAACGGCTCTTCTGGCAACAGGAAGGATAGAGCACATGTGCTGCGCACGGAAGGAGCCAAGTTTAGTTCCTGGCATCTGAAGCATTTTCGATAGCGAGTGCTAGAAAAGATCTCTGCCAGAAACCTGCCCGTGCCACAACCTGCCTGTCACGAAAGGCAGCAGTGGGATAGGTGGCCTGATTCAGAAAGAACAGCATAATTGAATAGAAGTTGCTGAAGAGGGTGGGGGAGTGAAAAATTTGAGAGGGTGGATGCTTTCCCGCAGGAGCATCTGGCTGGCTGCTGCTATAAATGGGATGCAGTGCTAGATGTTCCTTCCAGCAACATAGTTGTTACGCACTGAGTCTTCTCCTAGCCTTGATAACAGGTGTCTGGCTAGTAATACTGGTTTTTATAATAGGAAACATTATTACTCATATTTTGAGCAGCATACTGTGTCACTGCAGAGGAGGGGACAGCAGGACTCCTATATCTTTAATAGATACGCAGAACAACTTGAGTAAATACAGCAGCCCGGTATGACACCCCCCCCAACTCTCTTTTCTATTACATACTGTCAGATGAGTTCACAAAAACTTAGGGTATAATAAACTTGATAATCTTTGAGGCACTCTCTGTACTTCTGGTTATGGGTATCACCAGTGATGTACCGTTAAGCTGTAGCCCTATAAAATGAGTGAGTGAAAACTTGCAAAGAACAGGGCAGCCGGGCTGCTTTGCATTTCCATGCATGTATAGAAGAGGGAAACAGCAGCTTTTCTTACTTCAGTGCATTTCCTCTTCTTGATAGTTCTTAAAGATATGCAGGCTCTGCCATCTCTTTCACATCAGTAGTCATTTCTTGAATATAGCTGCATGAATTGGTTGTGACTGCTCAGCATTAAAGGTGTAGAGCAGTAAGCATGCAGGCAAGAAGAGGACAGCATTAGCCATGGATTTTATAAATGGTGCTGGGTGGAGCCCAGTGATGCAATTCTAAGCATACCTTCATGAAAGTTGGTTATTTTTCTGGAATTGGTTAGAACTGGGGTGGTTTCAGTTCTAGTAGTGCTCCTCCTTTGCTCTGACAATACTCTAGAAATAAGGAGGCAGTTTCTTGTGTAATTTAAAGTGAAATAGAGGCCTCTTCAAAGTAGTAAGTAAGATTGCAAATGCTGTACATTGCGGTGCTCATGTCCCCACAAGGAAAGTGGTACAGTTAGCCAGTTACCCTGAGGAGACAAGCGTTGCTTCACAGCAGTGTTTTGGAATTTTAGCCACCTTCTTAATATGTTCTACTTTCCAGCTCTCTTCTCTCTCCTCCTCCCTTGCAGCTCAGTGCTGCGCATATGTAGTCCGCTGCTTTGTTCAAAAGAGTGTGAGCTGGAGCACTGGTCCAGCTTGACATTACAAGAGAAGTAGTGCAAGACAACTGACAGTGTCAGCTAACCCAGCTAACCAGAAAGAAAGCACCAGTGGGGGGAAAATCTGTGAGAGGAACCTGCATGTCTTTTCGTGTAGGGAGGAAGGTATTACTGCTTGCTTCAGCGTTATTCTATCACCCAGGGTCGAGGGGAGGTATCCTACAGCTTGAGAGCAATTGGCACATGGTTTTTAGATATCTATGGGGCGCATGTCCAGGAAAAGAAAAATAGGGCTTCGCTGTGTTCCCTTTTAGTGTAATGTATGACATTCTGAAAATGGAAATATGAAAAGATTTCTGATGCTGACACTTGCAAAGGTGATAGTAACACTTTCTGATAGAGCCACTGCTGCACAGTGTGCTTTGAAACGGGACATTGTAAATTTGCAGGGTGTGGGGGGCGGGAGGGAGAAGGTAGTATCTTTTGCGTAAAGAGATACTAAGAAAGATTGTGTGTGTGAAGTCTAACACCAAGAAAGATTGTGTGTGTATTGGCTCAAAAGTAAGACTTGCTAGGTTCAGTGAGACTTGGACATTTCCTAGGAAGTAATTTCTACTTTGCTACCAGAGGAGCCAATAATGAGCCTATGCATGAGTACATGGCAGTAAATTCTAATTAATCTGTGTTCAAAAGTGGGTTGTTTGAGACTATCTTAAGTGTATGCAAGTAATAGAGCCATTGGGATGTGCTAAACATTAATGCTTAATACTGCCTATGCTCACTTGATTCCCACGCGAGCCCACAAAACTATGCAAGTAAAATATGTGTTACACAAAAGTCTTATGTATATCTGGTAAAACTGTCCAAACCTGATAGGGTATTCCCTATCAAGGTGTGGCTACCCTAATAGTAGAAAAGCAGGGAGTGCTAAAACATGGTTATTAACTGTGGGATTGAGAAATTTGCTAATTTTGCAAACCATGTGAGCGTTCTTGTGTAGATGTAATGTCTGAGGGTAAGGCATTGTCAAAATCTATCCCGTCTTGCTGATGGAGTGCTATACACTTGAAGTAGCTGATACCATTCTCTTGCTGTACTTGACAGTCAAGAACATTATCACTAATCTCAGGATCCTCCTAAAATTAATTGTTGATCTTCACTGACAGGTACTCTGGGATCCCTTTGTTTTCGAAACAAATCCATGTTTATGAAGCTGGAGCCCCATGCCATTTATGCTTAGTTTTTCAAATAAGGAACCCCTCTTCTTCCATTCCTCCACCTTACTACCAGTGTCTGTTGACTTCTGGCTGAAACAGACTTTGCATTCTTACTAGTGTTCCAGACATCCACTAGCCTCCCAGCAATTGCCTTCTGTTTCGTTCCCAATAAAATTGGGTGCAAAGTACTTCATCTATTCACTTCCTTTCAGTGTTGGAACTTTTACTCACACGATATCTTGTGCCATCTTTAATTAGACTTTACATTTTTGAGGCTACTGGAGAGAGGATGGAGAAGAACAGAAAAGAATCTTGAAGGAGGGTTTAAATGATGTTTTAGACATAAATGTATTAAATCATGTATAGCTTTATTCTTACCTGTTTTGAAGTTCAGGCAGTATTCAGACAGATACTCTATGCCTATCTGAGATTATCCTGGTGCCTGTATGACTGGTTGCACTGACCTTATGTGTAAGGCGTGTATATTGAGGAAGTGGCTGCCTATTCCTTTTTTCACTTTCCTGAACGGCCCGCTTTCCTACTCCACCCCTGCCTTAAAACTGTGCTAAGGGGACTGCTCTGCAAGGCTCGCCTGCATGGGACACTGAGGCTCTAGATAGCCAGTGTTCTCCATCTTAAGCTGAGAAGGAACCTTTGGGATAAAATGTAGGCACACTAGCCATAGCGCATATGAAGTTCCTACTGTGCACGTCCCGCCACACTTTTCAAACCATGTTTACTACAGCTGTTGCTCTCATGCTGTAAATGCAACCGCTCATTCATTTTATACTGTGTGATTTACATTGTAATTAGCTGTTGTCCTTTTGCTAGAGTATTTTCCCAACTCCATCGGTATGTTAACATTTATATCTCACTTTTCCTTCAAGGAGCCCATGGCTGTGTGCATGCTGTTCCTTCTCTCATTTTATCCTTACAACATCCCTGTGAGGTAGGTGAGGCTGAGTCAGTGATTAACATAAAATTATCCATTGAGCCAAGTGCAGACTAGGATCCAGGTCTCCCGCATTTCAGCCCAGCATTAAGTACTACACTTCACTTACTCTGCATTTGTGTGCTTTCAACTGCAAAGCTGCACCTGAAGCAGCTTCACTCGTTTCAGGAGAGTGCCTAATTACTAGCATCCTTCCACCCAAGGGTGTTGTGTAATACCTGCAAAATCTCAGCCCTTTGAATTTGCATTCAGGAGTATCTTGTCATGATCCTGAAGTTTTAATAGCATTGATTTCCATGCATATACTGCAGCTTTTCCCAACTCTGTGTCCTCTAGATATTTTGCATTTCAATTCCCACTAGGCCCAACCAACATGAACAGTGGTCAGGAATGCTGGAAGTTATAGTCCAAAATATCTGGAGAGGAACTAGGGTGGGCAAGTCTTATATAGTAATTCTGATGATTGCATGTCAGCACTCTCGTGTTCATTTTAACCAGATCATCTGTACATTAGCACAGAATTATTTACTATTCATAGTTAAGAAAACTTCAGGGCTTCTGGTACTTTTTCGCATTAAAGAAATGGCAGTATTAAAGATGGCAGTATCTTAAGCATGGCATAGCATTAAGTAGTCTTAGGATTTGATCTTCTGGAACTCTCATTCCTCCTGCATAGTTTGGCTTTTGGTTTGCTTTTGCTAGATGTATTCACATGACTGCATGTTTACTTAGGTTGCGTAAGGTCTGCTCCATTTCCACCAACACTCACTTGTGACTGTGTATCTAAATCCCTTCCACAACCTGTCTCTGAGAAAGCTGCCAATACGACTTCTGTGTCAGGCCACTGGTTGGTAGCAGCTTTTCAAGGTCTTGGAGGCCTTGAAGGCCTAGCAAAACCACCTGAATTTCTTTCACTAGGGATTCCAGGGGTAGATCTACATGTGGAGCATGTGTTCAGCCACTGACCTGTGGCCTTCCCAAGGTGCACAGTGGAGGCCCAAGACTGTAGCAGAACCAGAATTATTTCTTATTCATTCAAGCTGTCAGGGTGATAGAAACATAAATAATGTATCTGATGTGCTCTTGGTTTATATAGCTGACTCAAAGACAAGGTAATGGTTCTTTAGAGTATTACTTGAGGGCAGGGGCGGCTGTTCCCTGAGACAAACTGCGACAGCCAGCTGAGGCGATAGTTTGGGAGCAGTATTATAGGGACCAGAGCATCAGATGGACAAATGCAAAGCGAAGGATGCAATTAGCTAGGAAGCTCTGTGCAAACCCCACTGGTATGTAGTATTTTGTGCAGTTTCTGTTGGCATCAGCAAAGCTTACACAAGAGAGCTTTTCAGTAGATTGCACCCTATCTGGGATTATCTTCTCTCTTAGTATATGAATTTCTACCTTGGCCCTAAAACAATCCTAAACTAGCTTAGAGTGCCACAGTCCAAAGTAGAATGAAAACATTTAAACATGCAAGGTATCCAAATCTTTAAGAGTCCTGTAAAACTGAGCAGATCCATCTCCAGTTGGCTCAGACTATATACACAGTGTTGTGCATGAAGATTGCTTGCTTTTTATATGGTGCACACAGGGAAATCCTCAGATACTGTGCGGATTCTGACGACTTGTGACTGGAAGTTTCATGGTCTTCAGACCTGTTATTTTAGGACCGCTCCACAATTTTTGCCAAGAACTACATGTACTTCCCACAGTCTGTGGTATTCGGTGTTCTGAGAATCAGTGTTTTTCTTCTACAATTCCTTGCTTATGTAGCTATGAAGATAAGGTTAGACATGTAATGGACAGCAGCTATGATGTATCACAAAGACAAGGAACATCACAGGCAGTAATTCACATCATAATGTGAATCAGAAGGGTTCTGTGAATTTTGCCCTTAAAATGACCTGTTTGTCTTGGATCCAGATCACTAGAGCCACTCTGATCAAGGTATATAGGCGCTCTCAAGCTGGAGATAGACATTAGTTTATATTTTCTTACCCAGAAAGTTAAAATGGTAGGATATATAGTCATGAGCAATGGGTGTGTATGCATGCACATATATAATGCATAACTGTCTTTCTGAAACGTTAGTTATTTTATAGTTGAATAGTCCAAAGATTCTGGGCTGCTTCCTATAGTGCTTTGGAAAATCAGGCAAGACAGAACGATATTTAACCCTTGATTCCATCAGTAAATCATTAAACCTGATACCCATCCGTAGTATGGATTTGAACCTTTGGAGCTGTCCTGCAGTCTTTGGTCATAAAAAATAACTTATCAAAGGCATTTCTTCAATTTTCCAACTTAAACAGAGAGGTAAAATGTAGCTTGCCTACAAATCTAATATTAAAATAACAGGGAAAGCTTTGTGGGAGAAAGGGCATGTGGGCTCAGAAATAAACCACTTCAGGGGAGAGGAGTGCGAGATCTGATTACGGCATCACTTCTACAATATATGGTAACTGGATAGTCATATTTATAGCAAGACTGATTGCAGTGGGGAGCAATTGGTCTTGTAAAACGTGGCTAAGCTCTGGCAGTGCTGGAGCTCAAACGTGGCTAAGCTCTAAGCAGTGCTGGAGCTCAATGTACAACAGGCTGAAGGAGCCAATGTCGGTCTTAGGCAAGGAAAGAACATGTGGGGAGAGGCGCGAGTGGAGGTGGCCCTTGCTCAAGAGACTTGTGCCACACAGAAGTGTAAAAAGAGCTTCAGGATGGACTACAAAAAGCTTGAGTGATGGAACAAATAAACTGCCTCAACAGATTTTTATCACGAAAGGAAGTGTTGCAGGAAATCCTGCCATAGGCTTCTTAATAACTGCAATACATTTTGGAGTAAGAGATGTATGAAATAAAGGAATTTATATGAGAAGAACCTTTGAGGAACAGCGCCTATCCTCATGTATTGCATGATACAGTTTTCTTCTGCAGGATCCCAGCCACTGAAGCTGAGCCATCTCCTATTGGAAGCAAGGGGAAGCTTTGCCACGCAGCAGCAGTGTCCCAAGTGCACCCATTAGTCAAAGCTTTTCCTAGCTTCATCTTCCTAGAATTTGTTTGTTAGTCACATGTTGGAAACAGAAGAGGGAATGAGATCACACAGTGAGATTTGCCTGGGACAGTATAAACCATGTTAAAGTACTTTTCTACAGAAGGATCACTAAATATGTTAACAAGCTTTGCTTGGATTTTGTGAGCTTGGTAGTCATGTGTTAATTGAGGTTCTGCTTTGGTGTGGTGGAGAGGATGTTCCTGTGTCATGTAGGTGAGAGGTTGTCTTTGAGTCTCTCTGTTTCTCTTTTCATCACCACTTTTCCTTCCGTAAAGTGGGTATTTTGCTGCCGGGGGGGGGGGGGGGGGCGTGCAAATGCATGCTTTGGTATTGGGGGCTCAGATCACATCATTGCCCAGTATTCCATTTTTTGGAAAAGTTACTTATTTCTGAGATTCGGATCTTTGACATGGGTATCAGAGCAAGAATCTGTAGGTTTAAAAAAGAGGCTTTGTGTTTTGGTGGTGCAGAGTCTCCAACTCTTATCTTGTACTTAGGTTTTTTTAGCAAGCTGTTTTTCTCTTAGCTGCACCAGTTTACAACCTGGGAAATGGACATTTTTTGACTGGTTTTTACCTGCCATAGCAGCAATTTTGTCAGATTGCCTACAGTATATTCCGTAAGCCCAAGCGTGCTCACTAGCCCAAAGGGTTGTGTAACCTTGGAATAACCAGTCCCAGGGGTGCATAGTCAAGTTAACTTGTGTCATTCAACTGTTACTATATCAGGACAATATTTGGAGGAACAGGGAAAACACATATTAGCCAGTGATTTCCTGCAGCCTAATTCAGGTTGTTAAACTTGGCTTGGTCCAGCAACCAGATTTCTCCCCCACTTCTGGCTAATTCAGCCCTCCCTAATGTCATTTGGCGCTTCCCCCACCCTCAAACGAGGCTTTTTTGCATAACTCCTCTCTTACATTGCTGGTGCTAAAAGTGAGGACTGCTTGTCTTCCAGACTGGCAGTGAATGGACTTGGCCAGCACTTGGAAGAGCAGCTCCCCCAAGTTTTACTTTTCACACTGTTCTTTGTTTAGGATTTAGTGTTTTGGGAGTAATAAACTTGTTCTCTACACCAGCTGGGTTTCTGTTTGTTTCAGGAATATTCTGTAAACCTATGTTGTAGAGTAGGATAAATAGCAGTATAATAAATATTTACACAGGGCTTTTCCTACCTCCATATCCTTACAGCCTTCTAAAGTAAATGAGTATAAACTTCCCTGTTCCAGTCCTTACCGAGCTTAAAGTTAAATGTGATGCGACATCCAGTGAGTTCATAACATCTGAACAGGAGACTTAGAAGTCCATCTACTTTCAGTGGGTTCTGGAAGAATCAAAGGGGCAAGTGGGTAAAGTTCAACTTTTATAGAATATGTTTGTGTTCATCAAGGCTGATTTGTGTTCCCATTCTCTCTCTCTAGGATACCCTTTTGCCTTGTTCCAGCGCTATTTCCTTTTCCAGAAAGAGCTCTACCTCATTCACCTGTACAACACGTTAACGGGGCTCTCACTTGCTTACTTCAACTTTGGTAAGGGGGCTGAGAAGATGGCTGCCCACCTAGTGAGTACCAGAGTGTGGGAGGGTGTGTGATGTTGCATCTTTGTGCAGGTTCTAATCATCTTCATTTGCCCTTTTAGGGACACAGTTCTGCCACTCCTTCATATGTGTCTTCATCCAGTTCCTTATCCTGAGGCTCATGGGCCGCACAGTCACTGCTGTTGCCACAACTTTCTGCTTTCAGATGGTAATCATGTTCTCTCTGTTTCCGTTTGCTTTTCTTCCCTAACTTGATGCTCTTCAGAAGTTTGGGATGTCAACTTCCATTCATTGTCAATGGTCATGAATGCTGGGAATTGTCATCAAAAACAACTGGAAGATACCAAGCTGTGGAAGGCTCGGCAAATACTGTGCGTGATTCTTGGGTAGAGGATATAGGACCTACAGCATAATGTATGATCATGCCTTGCATTTTTCAGTCATATCTGATGTTCGGCTATTACTTCACTGCCACAGAACACTATGACATCAAATGGACCATGCCACACTGTGTCTTGACTCTCAAATTGATTGGTAAGCAGTTCTGTTTCTGAACCGCAACTTCCTTCCAATATTGCTGCTTTACAGTGCATCCTACATGTGTCTACTCAGAAAGGTCCCACTGAGTTCTATTGGGCTTACACCCTGGTATGTGGATTACTATGGGATTACTGCTTTAATGTGTTGTCCTGGAGGTCCCATAGTATCTTTCCTCCTGGTTTGCTAAAAATACGCACTTGTGTGATAGTATTCTCTTCTTGGAGAAATCTTGGAGCAGCTGACAAGGAGCTCAAAACCAAGCAGTGATTAGATCTACACCAACTGAGCTTCAACAGTTATGCCTCTTAACTACTTATTGGGTGTTAAACTTTTTGATCATATTGTCATGTGTTTCTCTCTAGGCTTGGTCATTGATTACTATGATGGCAGAAAGGAAGTGGTGAGTAAAATCTGATTTCCATTCCCCATTCCTCTAAAATCAGGAATTACATTCAGGGACGTGATTGTAGAAAAAAAATGTAGCCATTAGGAAAGGATCCTGTGGCACATGCTGGGTCATTCATGAATGTTGGATTCCCTCCAGAATGTTTATAGAAATTGTACACAATTGGATTTTAAATACTTACCAGGTGTTGACAAATAGAAAGGAAGCTGCTATATCGGAAGATTACAAATCCTAGTACCATAAGCTGGCTCTACATACAAAATAGGGCTGGAGAGCAGACTCTGAATACCTTTAATAACAGACTTCTAGCTTAAAACATCAAGGTTAGCTTTATTAAGGGAATCTGGATCATAAAGGAATTTATTTTTATAGTTCCATCTTTCAAAAAGTTGAAGAAAGTGGAACAAAATTCATAAAACTCGTGTAATGTTTCTGCCTGCAGGCATATAATTGATTATAAATCAGATAGTATTATGGTAAAACAGCCTCTCCATTACATAAATATCCCTCACATACACAAAAGAATGCTTCCCATGAAATGAACAGGTATGTATTTTCATTGGCTGGACAAGAAAAGGCATTTTATCCAATATACATGAGGATTGACAGATTAGGCCACTGAATTTAATACTCAAGTCGTATTAAAGTTGGAAACTCTGTTCACAGCCTTTTTATATTAATTCCTCTTATCTCCTAAAGCATGTAGGAAGTATTAACCCATTCCATACCTGTTGACAAGGGATTATGAACAAGCTAGAAAGGAGAGTGTGCCACTCCTCCTCATGCATTTGCTCACATGTGCTCTACTGAGTCAAGGGCTGTTGGAAACAAGATCAGAAAAAGCATTTCTAAACCAAGTATGACTCACATGTAAATCTGGGATCCTCTTCAAGTGTCTGAGCAAAGACTATACAGAAAAATAAGAAATTCTGTAAATGTGCTCTCTGCCCGCCTTGTATCGTACAAAAACCTTTCACAAAACCTTATCTTGGCCGGGACTTTCAAGTCGCCGATCTTCAAGTGGGGTGGGCATGGAGTGTGTGTCGGGCAGGGTCACTTAGTCCCTTGGAAAGCATGACTTGTTATCAGCACACCAGTTGAGTCAAAGTCTCTGCTGCCAGTATATGTAGTTGGCAAGCGATAGTCCATTATCAGGATTGCTGATGCCACTATGCCAAGTGGTCTGTACAGATGGCTGGGTGGGGTCTTCTGGGTTCTTGACAGTGGATCTCATTACTCATGAGACGGAGACCAACTGAGATTCACCAAAATCTCATGTAGCAAGACCGTTTAACTCAGCGCTGCTAATGCTGTTTTTATTGTGACAATGCAGGAGGCCCTGACCCATGAACAACAGCAATTTGCTGTTCGGGGAGTTCCTTCTTTACTAGAGGTCTCTGGCTTCTCCTATTTCTATGGTGCCTTCATGGTGGGGCCTCAGTTCTCCATGACACAATATCACAAGCTGGTCAAAGGCGAGCTCACGGATGTTCCAGGCCAACAACCCAGCAGGTAATCCACTGTGTTGAGGTGCCCCAAGCACCAGCTCCCATGTACCCATTTGAGCATGCAGCTGTGTGGTTCCTTGTGTGCTAGGCAGTAGCGCTTCTAATAAAACGTGTTGCACTGTGCAAGGGCATTTTAGGGTTCCAGCTTAATAAGGGCAATTGCTTTAGTGAAATGCAGAAAACGTGTGCACGCTTTCGCTTTCTCACGCGTGCACCCCCCCGCCCTTCTCCTGAAGCACTAGATTATAGGATGTCTGATTTTTTTGTCTCCTCACTTATTTCACTTTCAGCTTTGTGCCTGCTCTTAAGCGTCTTCTCCTGGGACTCTTCTTCATGGTAGTCTACATTATAGCAGCACCATATGTTTCTGAAGAATACCTCATCTCTGATGAGTATCTGGTAAGTAGTACTAGAGGGAATGGAAGGTTAACTCCAGAAAGGAAAGAAAAAAATCAAAGGTAAAGTCTTAGGTTTAAAAAAAAAAATCAAAGGTAAAAGAATAAAATCAAAAAATTTTGAAAAGCTGAGTGATTAAGATAATGAAGTCTTTCACTTCAGACCATTTTTAATCACAAATATCCTGAACAGATAGAAAGCATGTCCTTGTAGTTCACCATGCTGCTGTACCTAACAGCCTGATACTTTGTAGCCTACATGCTGTAACTTATTCAACTTTTCCATTTGCAGCTGGGAGGCTTTTGTTACTGACTCTTAACAGTTACAACGTTTGTTTCCTAGGGACCAACTTGCCTGTTATTGGTTCTTCTGCTTCAGTTCAACAAATGCTATCTTTTCTGGTTGCCCCATGTATCCCTTTCATGAGGCAACATAAAAATGTGCAAGAGAACCTTTAACTCTCTAATAAAAATGAAAGCTTACTTTTTAAAACCTCTAAGTTTTAAATCACTTTTTCAGTATTAGGAATGCATTCTAGACACTCCATTTCTATATGTTTCTGCTCTGTGCTTCATTCTGTGTTGGCTTTTCTTTAGAAAGTGCAGGTATCTTATGCAGCATACTGTGGTTTCCCACTGGGTTCTTTCTCCTTTGGGTACAAAAACCCACCTGAAGCTGCCCAAAATACTGAGATCTTGTGGGATGGGGCGTGTGTGTGTCTGTCTCCGCATCTTGCCTGAGCATGGCCATATTCAGTGTGCTGGGTCTCTGTATCGTTGCAGCTTTGTGCCCAGGACTCTTTTCCGGCCAGAAGGCTACATTTGGTGCACGGCAAATTCTGAGACTGGCCCAGCTAAATCCCGTCATAGCAATTAGGCTTCAAATGAACTTGTTCTCTCTGGACTTTTAAACCGAAATTTCTAAGGGAATTTGCAGCCATTAAAATATTTGAAATTCCAATTTATTGTATTTTTAAAAAGTTGTTTAAGGCGCTTTCATAATTTCTGACATTTTACTGTGACACTCTGACACTGTAAGCAGCCTCAGGAAGTCAATGGTTTTGAAAGGCAGCTAAGAAATAGATGAAATAAAGTTAACTTTAGAACTTATTCTGATAGCAGATCTGTGATATGAGATTTATATCTTCCTACAGGAGCAAAGCTTCTGGTTCCGCTGCTTTTATATACTCATCTGGGGCAAGATAATGCTCTACAAATATGTTACATGCTGGTTAGTCACGGTAAGCTTGGAAACTAAACATGGTATGCAAGCCACTTCCACTGGTTTGGTAAGGTAAGATGATGCAGGGCAACTTTATCTTGTGCAACTGTGATTTCTGTTGCAGGAAGGAGTCTGCATCCTAACAGGTCTTGGATACAATGGAAAAGATGAAAAGGGGATGGCAAAGTGGGATGCTTGTGCCAACATGAAAGTGTGGCTCTTTGAGACAACTCCGTATTTTACAGGGACCATTGCCTCCTTCAACACTAATACCAATGCCTGGGTGGCCCGGTAAGCAGTGCTGACAGATATCTGGAGAACAGTTTTAATCATACCTGAACAGGAGGGTGGCCTTGCTGTGAAGAGAGTTCTGAAGATTTTTGCTCAAGTGCTGAAAAAACATAGAATTCTATCCTGGGGGTAGCAGCTTATTTTTAAAAGCACATTTCTAGCTTTGAACAGTTTGGAAGTGTGAACTGTGTCTCCAGAACTAAAGGAGGCTCAATAAGAATTCCAGTGGGCAGAAAAAGATATCCAGAGCTTCTTGCTCTTAAGATTGGCCAAAGTAGTCTGACAACAGGGATCAGCAACAAGGCTTACACCAAGACCCTTGAACGTGCTTGGTAAACCCCTTGGTTTCTTGCCATTGAGGTGTCTCAGAAGCAGTGGCAGGTTAACTGGCTGGCCAGTCAAGCAGAAGCAGTAGGGGTTGGGGAAGGAAGGACAAGAACATGTACCACTAGGCCTCTCAAAAATGTAAAATTTGTCTATGGCCTTGAAAGAAAAGGTTGCTGTGGGCTCAAAAAGGATGTGTACTTTCTTATTAAACTCAGTAGGACTTACTTCTGAGTAAACATGCTTATTTTACTTAGTATTTCAAGCTGCCTTCCCTTAAATGGTCCTTCATCAAGTCATTAACCAGACAGTTCTATTTATTATTTTCTAATATTTCTGGGTACACTTGAGCCTTTGCTGGATTTATGGGTTTGCTTCTTTTCAATGGGGAAAAGTTCTTTGCCCCCTTTTTAACTTGGTAGCCATCTAGCAGTGTTTATGGACAGAGATCCTTAATTTGTGAATAGGCAAAATATTGGTTATTATAAACTGAACACTGTAACCATTAGTGACTTTTAGATTGAGGTGGGTACAACACCACATCCTTCCTCTGCTCCGAAACTTCTACGTCACTAATTGAGAGGGAATTAGACATGGGCAAAATGTCATGGTATTCCTGCTCAGAAATAAAACTATTTTCTACCCTTGGAAATGCCCTCCACGTGGCAAGGTAGTAGTAGGACTTCTAAACAGAAAGTCTCATTTAGAAATTAAACCATTGTAGTTCTTACATCTGTGTATATTTCTGAGGGAATAAAAACAAAACTGCTGCCCCAAACAGAAATATTTTCATCAAAGTTATAGAAGTCAAAGTTCTAGGTTAGCAGAACAGATCCTAATTGTGTGAAGCAAATTAGACTATAGCTCACATCTTGCCATTATTTATTAGATTTATATCCCAGCTTTTTTTTTAAAGAACTCAAGGCAAGTTACATCATTTTCCTCCTTCAGTCCTCACAATGACAACTCTGTAAGGTAGGTTGGGCTGAAAATCACCCAGATGGCTTCATGGCTGAGTAGGGACTAGAACCCAGGCTGCCTGCATCCTTAACCACTACACCACACTGGCTCTTTCAGCCAGGCCTACATTACAGAATTGTTGTTATAAGATTAGAATCAAGATCCCATCATCCCATTTACAGCCTGAGTGCACTACCTATCTGGCCCTGAGGGCCGCAGTTTCAGAAATGCACTTATGCCAAGTTTTCTGTGTCCTCACCCTGTGATCCTGATACAATTTCCAAGCCGGTAATACTGACTCTCTGCTCAATCCCCACACATTTCCCTTGTTGTCTAATGGTAGCAATGTTACAGCCAGGGAAATAGCGGTCAGGTCCCTGATTTACAGGCTAGCTCTATGCCATGTGAATCACATCATGGAACACAACAATACATTTTATGTACCTCTCATTTTTTCAGCTGCTCAGATACAAAACAGCTATATCTCAGTAGAAGACATTCTTCTAGACATAAGGCTTCAGGTTCAGTCTACCATTTCCACTTGCCTCTCATTGCATTTTACTAAACATCTAAATAAATTATTTCTTTCCCTAACCGTGAAAGAGCAAAGAATTTCAGCCATGGGTAAAGATAAGGGTTTAATCTGTGCTAGATTCTACTAGTATTAACTGCTAATTTAGAAGCAGGGTTTTTTTTTTTTTTTTTACCCTGAGTCTCCTGAAGCCCAAAAAAATAAAAAAAGATTGCGCTTCCTTGACCCTTTTTCTGGACCTTCTGATTGTTTCTTTCTGGAGACAATAAAAACAGTGATTGTCTTTTAAGTTGCCAACCCTAACAATGTTATTTTTTGTTCTCCATCAACAGCTATATCTATAAAAGATTAAAATTCTTGGGAAACAAGTTACTGTCACAAGCCATATCCTTATTTTTTTTGGCTGTCTGGCATGGACTGCACAGTGGCTACTTGGTGTGCTTCCAAATGGAGTTCCTTATTGTTATGGTTGAGAGACAGGTGAGCAGCTTTTAAAAGAACGATTTAATAATTAAGGTAATCATCTGGATACTCTGGTTTACTTAGGAAAAACTTCGTTAGGTGAAATGTGTGATGGTACACATTATTGTCTGGATGTGGCAGAACAGTGAGGCATTGAAGGCAGTTATTTGTGACCTCTTGTTTATCTGTTTCTCCAGTGACACCCATTTGCAGTGATGTTCACAGAGGGATGTATTTGGTTTTTTAACCTGTTTTTTAAAATAGAGGATGTAAGATGTTCCTGTGCAACCCTATCCTAAGTGCTTACTAAATACAAACTTATTTAAAATGTAATGGATCAAAGTAGTAAACTACCCTGTTGCACTTCTTTAATTTACAGCAGTCTCATTATTGCAATGTCTAATTTTGTTAAGACTTGAGGCAAAGCAATTTTAAATGGCACCCTATGTAAATACCAGGTAGACAATGCAAACTCATGGCTTGTTTTAAAACAGCCGTTGTTTTGAGCCTGCTGCTGCTACTTATGGCCTGCTTCATACGACTGCAGTCTCAAGCCACTGACAAATTGCAGTTACGCACAGCTACTGCTTTGTCTCAAGAAGTAGCTGCACCAGAGAAATTGAGGTAGACTTTTGAAGTTGCATCATGAGCTTAAGGGGGGGAAATGTCACCCATTGTGCTTAACTGTGTGTGGGTTCTTGACTATTACACAGCATGAGACATTGTTTCTTTTGCAGCTTATCAGCCTCGTACAGGACAGTCCGTCTCTGACTTCCCTGGCCTCACTCACCATCTTAAAACCTGTCTTCTATGTCCTTCAGCAAGCTATCCACTGGATGTTCATGGGATATTCTCTGGTGCCATTTTGCCTCTTCAGTTTTAATAAGTGGATGAAGGTACTAAAAGCCTGAACCCTCTGAAAAGATGACCTCCCCACACTTAACTGGTAAGAGGAAGTAATAGTGGCTTATCCAGCACTGACCTGTGCATTTTTTCCTTCACAGGTATACAAGTCTATTTATTTTGTAGGCCACATATTGTTCTTCACATTACTGTTCGTATTGCCTTACATCCGAAAAATACTTGTGCCACGAAAGGAAAAGTTAAAGAAAGCTGAGTAACAACCAAAAGGTGAGAAATTCTTCTGGCCTGCAGTTGCTTAACAATACTAGTCTTACAAGGTATGCAGCTAAGTCATTTTACTTTTTTTATCTCTTTCAGATTGTACCATGTGTGCATTTATTATGGGGATGGTTGAAGCATCACCTGCCAAACTTCTGCGGTCAAGCCCTGCCAGGGTGACTAGGGGCAAAAAGAGCACAGGGGCTAAGACCCCAAAATGAGGGGTCCTGGCTGCAAACTCCTCCACCCCATTTACAGGTTGCCTTATCTTTTAATGTCTCCCCATGGACACTCCTGTTGCTGGAATTGTCAGATGATTGTAAAGCACTTGATGCAGCTGCCATCTGGGAATGGAGCCACCACTTGACTTTTTCTACTGAACAATTCTGCTAGATAAAATTGGTCCCAGTTGGTTTTTCATTCATGCTTGGGAATGCTTTTTTTCCATTAGTTTCTGCAACTGGTACTGTTTCCATTGTATCCTCACTTCCTGGGAAAAGGCAAAACCCAGTGTTGTATGTGGGCTAAGATGAAGTATGAGAGATATGTTCCTTCTTTGACAGATGTCACATCAAAGCAGAGTAAAAAACAAAAAACTACGGAGAACCGCTCTGGGTTCAGAGTTGGTATGTGCTGCACTTCCACAGCAGGTACCCCCAAGTGAGGCTTGTTATTCTGAACCCAAGGAAGTGCTCCCCTCTGCACTTGTGCAAATCAGACTAGAAACATAAAAGTAATTTGCACATGTTTCAAGTGCAAAAATTTGCTTGGAAAGGCTGCCGAGCCAGTGACGACCCTTCCAGTGTGCCATTTAGGCACGGGGGGGGGGGGGGTTGCCCCTGGCAACAGCATGCCTAGCATCGTCAAAAGCAGCAAGATTTTTGCTGCTCCTACACAGCTCCTTGCTTGCCTCTGCCCTTTATCCACAATGGGACCAGTTGCCTGGGTTTGAATAACATGACAACCCATCATGGATAAAACTATCCACAGGATGTTCTGAGGGGTTATCTGTGTGGCTTCCTGGGGGAAAAAAGCCACACTGCAGTTTTTGTCCAGACAACCCCCCACAGTTAATTACTCATGATGGGCTGCTGTTTGTGCAAACATTTTTTTTTAGCTAGTTATCCACTACAGCCTAAGAGCTTTTCCTTGGCCAATCACCCTTAGCTCAGATGCCATCAGGGTACGTACAAAGCTACCATGTGTTTGCCAGTCTATGCATTCTCCTGTATGCAAAGACACAGCCACTTCACTAAGAAAACTTTTATTTGTCTCAAAAAATAAAGGAATTTAAGGCTCTATTTGCCCTAAAGAAAGGATACACATGCGCTCTCCCTCTAAAAAGAGAGAGTGAATGCATGCAAACACAAACCCTGCAATGTACAGGATAGCAGAATGAATCTTAATTAAATATATTCTTCAGTAATAAGCTCATACTACTCCCCATACTTCTTCAAAAGCTGTAGTGATCTTTGCACAGGTCAAAGCTGCAGAGAGTGGATAGTTGCTGATAGAAACAGACTTCTCGGAGTAGTCGACATTAACCTAGAAGAGAAAAAGAGCAACCACTTCAGTCCGCTTCTGTCTTGTATTTTCGATTCAATGCATTATTATTCAAACCAAAGATAAGCAGCCTTCCCTCCAGAAGGGAGCTTGGGCTACAGCTCCCATAATCCCTCATCACAGACCATGCTGGCTAGGACTGATGGGAGTTGTAGTCCAAGTCATCTGCAAGGCCACAAGTTCCTGACCCAAACCATTTGCTAATTATCATAGACAATATGAGACAAGATGGCCCAACAGTCTGACTCCATATAAAGCAACTTCCATGTCCTAGCAGAATCCCATATAATTGCTATTTACTAAATCATGAGGCAGAGCTAAGCTAGCTTTTCTTAAGCCCCACTAAACAGCCAGGAGGCTACATCTTTTCTACCAAGACAAATTTCTTCCATTGCTATAAGAGGCATTCCTCCTCCCTATAAAGCAACCTCCCATTAGTACAGTACGCTACAATTCTCAAATGTTCCACAGCCGTAGCCCTTACCATATACCTGTATGGTATGTAGGTGTAAATGCAAACTGCTATCTATATAGTGTCTTGTCCTAAGGAAGCGGGAGGTAGGATGTGTCGCCCATAATTTACAATTGTGAAAACACAATTTTTCCCTTACCGAGCCATGGGCAAAAGCTCCAACGATGATAGCTATAGGGTCTGCAGTAGGAACAAGATCACGCACATCTGTCACAGTAGCGGCTGAAAAGGATGTGGCTATTTTTGTACAACCTACAGGGAGGTGATCAGTTACAGGATTCTTAATAACCTAGAGGCAAAAATATTAATTTAGGAGTAGAAACAACCATCTTTCATAGAACCACATGATTCTAACATACAGCATTGTTACCTTTAATAACTTCTGAGGCCCATCAGCAGCTCTTACGCTGAATTTATGCAGCAATTGAACTAAGGAGAAACAGAGGTACGAGTTTTACTTTGGAGTTATAAGATAGACCAGCACTTCATCTGTTTCAGAGTTCCCTGCCCTGATCCATTCTGACTAGTAATTCAAAGGGCCCTTTTCTGTAGACCATACCTGCACAGTGACCCACTAAATGAACATTTACAACCTATGTCCTGCCTCTCAGGACCACATGCAAAACAGAAGCAGAACTGCTTTAGAACAGAAGTAGGAAACTGGTGGCCCTGCAGATGCTGGATAACTGAGCACTGGCCAGGGCAGATGGGGAATTGGAGTCTAACATATAGATGGCCAAGGGTTCCCCACTGCTGCTTTATAGCATCTATTGGAGTCAAACATTTATACTGATGTACGGTTGTCCTGAAGAGCCGCACTGCAGTTACTTTTAAGCAAACAACTGCAGTGCAACTCTTTTGGGCAGTTAGTAGCCTGTAGCATTCAGTTGTGCACTAAGTACCACAAAGCCAGTAGAATGGAGTGTCTGCAGACCACAAATAAGCAGATTATTTGTATATTCCAGGAAAAAGAACTTCAGGAGAGGTGGGGCCCATTTGTGCCCGCTCCCAAGACCACAGTTCCCTCCTCCAAAAAGTAAAAAAATAAAAAAGCATCCTTTGCATAGCCAAATACAAAACAGGTCAAATTTCAATTATGTACAAAGTAAAGTGGACCTTTTTAGCACTCTGCAGTGGCCACAGACACCATTCCCACCACCAAAAGGTGTTTACATCAGGAGGATGCTGTGAATTTGGAAGGCATGTATACTATCTGCTTCCAGTTTAGTTAGGACCACCATATGATACCAATGTGCCACAAGTGTGGCACACGGAACTACATGAAGATTCCACTAATTTGTTTATTCACTGGAAGACTGAAGCCCAAAATACTTTTTTTTTTAAAGTTCAATGTGTACATAGCACGCGCGCGCACACACACTCCTAGTTCCCAACGTTCAGTCTGCTCCCTACCTACACAGAACCCTATGGAAGGCTCATCCACCATTTTCTTCCATTCCTTCTGTACTTTCTAGGCCTTCTCTTGACTCCTATTTTCAGTACATTACCTGATTCTTTACAATACTTATGGATTCTCTTTGCTCTGAGATATAATGCATAATGATTTTCTGCTGGGCAAATTTACTATTTTTTCCTCACTGAAGCTGCAGTATGTATCAATATTTTCTCCACAGAAGTCAATGCAATAACATCATAATGGTGAACAGCTGGGATAATACAGGTAAATCCAAACTTGAACAAAATAGGTCTTTTCAACAGCTTCATAGGAAGAGGAAACAATCCAGCTTCTGCTTCTTTCATGCTTCTGTCCCAGCCCTGCCCTGCCATCTGCTGGCCACCTTCAAGCAAAAAGGGGGAAAGTGCCGAACATGCATACCAGAAGCACAATGTGACAAAAGGCACAGCTTAGGTGTGTTGTCCCACTGCAAAGACATTTGCAGCCTGTCTACCTCATGACTGGCAATACCAACTAGATTACTATACAAACTTAAGTGCTGCCAGGTGATGAACTGTTACAAGTATTAGTAAAATAGACCTGTCCATGTATAATGGAATCCAGTGGAGTCCACCTGCAGACAGACCTGCACTTATCAGAAGAAATGGAAGGGTGCTATTCTCCCTTGCTCCCACCACACTCTTGAAATCAGTTCCAGAAGGGTAGGGGATGCCCTGGAACAGACTGAGGAATTCAGGGGCTGCAGGCAAACAGGAAAACCCATAGTAGAGTTCTGTCTCTAGATGGGCTTTCTAGTCTTTTGACACATACCCCCTTTTTACTCCTGACATTATATACTGTGAGGGGGAATGAATCCTAGTTTATGCTTACCCATGAGGCCACAAAAACGATCAAAAGTGCGAGGAATTCTTGTCTGGGGGTTAACTTCAATCAGGACATTCTTTTCTGTGTGAATGTATACCTGGAGAAGACCAGCTCGGTTCAAGGGACTGTCCATGAGCATCAGAAGGCTCTGTAATGAAAGGGAAAAAGCTAAGGCTTTTTTTAGAAAGAAATGTCATTGTAGTAACGATTGTCAAAAGATTTCACAAACATTGTGGAAAAAAGGCTAGGCCTAAAGAAAACACTCCAAGTTTTGTGAAATAGTAGAATATAGAAAATATTTAGGAAAGTTTGTGGTTATAACCAAAAATAGAACTATCCACACTATTTTGATGGTCTTTTCATGAAATAAAGTAGCTACCAATCCATATTTCAGGAATAGGTCCAAAATAGGTTGTTCATATTAGCTTTACTGTATGGCCAATATACAAACATACCTGGTGGGTAATGTCAGGTCGACTCCTTCCAGGGTCCCGGCCACTCCGCAGAAGCAATGATTTATGCTTATCACAGTTCAAAAGCTCATATGTTTTCCCAACCTGGAACAATATTTCAATTTATTTGTTACCTTCACTAGGTGGCTTTTAGTATTTTGAAAAATTCATTAACAAGCAGTAACTATAACAAGTGGTGTCACATTAAGAAAATGCTTACTAGAATAAAACTGTTTTCAGTGCAGCTCCCTAGGCCACTAACTCTAGTCAGCATTACCACTGGGAGGGCTGCACTCCAAAACATCTGCAGAGCATCAGAGTTATTTCTAATTCTTGATGTTTGCTGCCTTTGAGAATGACGATTCTAATAAATTATAATGGCCAATAGTTGGTTTGAGATCCTTCACCCTCCATGAACCTAATTATCTTCTAAAGCCATGAGAGACTTGGACTACTCGAGCAGCAAAATGAGGCAGCAGAATGGACGCTACCACTTAGGCAATACTATTCGTGCTCTTCCCCATGCACTAATCTCTTCAAATTAAAATGCAGCATAGGCTATGTTAGCTTTTGAAGATCATGGCTGCTTCTAAAGGAAGCGCTAAAACCAGACCACTTCTACCCCACCTCACTGTACTGCACCTCTTTCGCAGCGCCTGTGTAACTAGCAGGGAGCGTCAGGCTCCGCTAAGGCTAATGCTTCCATCACAGCCATTCCGGCCTCCCAGCAGCTTCTCCCTGCACCTTCACAGTCTCCAGCGACGCCCCCTCCAGGATCACCAGCAGCCGCCTTTTCCCCGCGCGGCGAGGCTCCACACCCGCAGCATCGTCCGCCGCACGCTTTCGCACGGGGCCCGCCGCCGCCATCTTAGAACCAGAGAGGCCGCATCGCCGCGCGCCCCAGACGGGCTTCTAGCTCGTCGAGGTTAAGAACTACTTCCCGTTCGAGGCATATTTACTTCCGGTTCTAAGACTGACGGGCGGGAATACTGACAGTGCAAATTAGACAAAATGCTACCACGTCTCCGTCCGGGTACCCGTTTTCCCTTTCCGAAAATGATCTCTGAAGGAAAAGAACAGCAGCGGGATACGCAGCGTAACGCGACAGTTCAGGCCGAAGCGTTTCGGAAGTAACATCTGCCGCGGAGGTTGCCTATCCGGGTGCCATATTGCAAACGGAAGAGAGTCTGCGCGGGCGCCGCCGCTCGTGGGGCGCGTCACTTCCGGTGTCCTTCTTTCGCTGGAGTGCGGCGTGGTGGCGGCCGAGGGTGAGCAGTCGACGCTGGGGCTGTTGCATGGCTGCGGGGACTTTGTGGGTCCAGCCGAGCGCGGCTTTTTTCTTAGGAATAAGCCGTGTCGCTCTCAGTGACGCTACTCTCAGTGAATGTGCACAGCGCTCCCTTGGAATGCTAGTCCGGTGGGAGTGGTGGAAGGCAAAGGCTGAATGCCTTACAATAGCTGCTTGTTTGCCGGAGTTAGGGCTGCCCACATTTTAGCTAAAAGTGCTATCACTCTCGGTTTTGAGCATCTGCAGGCTTTCTTCCTCTGGTGAAAATCAAAATATTTAATGACATGTAGTGCTTTGGGCATGTGCAAAGAGTGATGAAATGGCATTTAAAAGGCTGTGCCATTTTTTAAACAAATAGATCTCTTAAGTATATGCCTTACTGTGAAGAGGATGGCTTTTTTAAAGCCTGTGATGCCCTGATCCAGAGCAGGAATGAAATACTATTCCATTTGAGAGAGGCAATTTCTGTTCTCTGTTTTCATTTTAAAAGCATCTGAAGTCTAATGGTGAAGAATGATCTTATATTCACTTACAAAATATAAATGCAGATTAGGTAATTTATTCAATATGGTGCTTTGCTTGATGCAGTTCTTAAAGTTGCTGGATTCTTGATTCAGAAGAGCTGCATGAAAGAAATGCTAGGCACATACTTTTTTAATGATCATGCACTATTTTGATAGGAGAAGAACGAAATAATGGTTAGCCAGCAGTGATAGGCAGGGTGTAAAAGTTTTGATAGGGGAGTTTGTTGTTCTTCATATAATGTATTTTGCTCATTTTGTGGTCCTTTCTCCATATGAAGGTGACAATGTCTCAGAGTCTGAAGGACTTCGCTGGGCGTTTGCCAGCTGGCCCTCGTGGTATGGGCACTGCCTTGAAGCTGCTGTTGGGTGCTGGTGCTGTAGCCTATGGTATCCGTGAGTCTGTCTTTACTGGTAAGTCAGTTTTAGGAGTTTTACATACTCCTTTTTCCATCTTCTGTACAACATTTGGTAACCATTGGCTGCTTTTCTTTCTTTGCTTCAACAGTGGAGGGTGGCCAGAGAGCAATATTCTTCAACCGCATTGGCGGAGTTCAGCAGGACACAATTCTTTCTGAGGGACTGCATTTCAGGTACCTAGCTTTGGACAATTCAGTATGGGAAGAATGCTTAGGATCTGCTAGAGAGTCTCAAGACGGTGTCATCCCAAAATCAATATTTTCCCACCATACGCCACTTCCACAGAGATTTCCCATAAAAAAAGGCTGAGAACATAAAAAAGCCATGCTCAATCAGACCAAAGCTCCAGCATACTGTAAACGTGGTGGCTAACCAGCTGCGCACAGGATCCCTCAATCAGGATGGGTGCAAGACCGCTGCCTACCCAAGCTCCTCAGCAACTAATGTATGTAGGTACGTATGCCACCTCTGGTAAAGGAGGTAGCACATAATCAGCAAACCCGTTAGCCACTGATAGCTTCCTCCCTTACGAATTTGTCAAAGCTTAATTTAAGTTGAAGTACCAAGATCCTTTTACGAACTTCTCAATTTGTCAGTCATTAAGAAGGTAATATTTCATCAAATACTGATATAATTTTTGTCTTTGCTAAAGAAAAAGTGAGCCCTAAAAATTGGGCTAAAGACACTGAAAATAATTCGCTATTGTAGTGTATTGCTACAAATTGGAATAAAATAATATGTTACTGTGGCACATTATCAAGAGAACACATTGTCTAGACAGCCATGGTAGCGTATTTTTTTCTCACACCAAGTAAGAAAGAGATTTCTTTTTTTCTACATACCTGTGATACATGTGTAGCTTTTTACATCCCTTATTTAGTGAAATCTTTCTTTTTATTACTTCCCAGAATTCCCTGGTTCCAGTATCCAATAATTTATGATATTCGCGCTCGGCCACGCAAAATCTCCTCACCAACAGGATCCAAAGGTGAGGGCACGGGTGTGTGGTGGTCTTTGGTTTTATATCCCAGTCTTCAGGAAGCACTTGTTTTTACAGTAAAGTCATCCAGTGAGTTTCATTTGAGAGTCGAACTGGGATGTGAGACTGCTCAGTCTGAGTCCAGTGCTATCCACAGATTCCCGCATTCTTGCGTTGCCACTTAATGGAAGGGCATGTGGTTCTGAAGGGAGAGAGTCAATAGCAACAAAGAGGTGTGACTTGGCAAAATCTGGGTTGAAGCTTCTGGACTGTGGCTGATTTGATTCTAACTCTAGATCTGCAGATGGTGAACATCTCCTTGCGTGTTCTGTCACGGCCCAACGCTACAGAATTGCCCAGCTTATACCAGCGTCTTGGTCTTGACTATGAAGAACGAGTCTTGCCTTCCATTGTCAATGAAGTACTCAAGAGTGTGGTGGCAAAGTTCAACGCCTCACAACTCATAACCCAACGAGCTCAGGTCTGTTGCCTTTACTTGAAGGAGCGAGCTTTACCCACCCAGCATGACTTTTTGTGGAAGGGTAGGCTAAAAATGTATGTGTGGGGGGGGCAGTCTGCATACTTCTAGCACTGTTTTAAGGAAATTCCCAGGGGAGGGACAGAGACATTTGCAAAATTCCTTCAGACTTTAAAAACTCGGGCTGAAAGAGAGAGCTGCTTTCTGCATTCATAGAGGTAGATGCCAAAAAAAAGCTGTGGTGTCATCATTTCAGGTATCTCTGCTTATCCGTCGGGAGTTGACAGAGCGAGCAAAGGATTTTAGCCTTATTCTTGATGATGTTGCTATCACGGAGTTGAGCTTCAGCCGGGAGTACACAGCAGCCGTTGAGGCCAAACAAGTTGGTAAGTTGATACTCGGCATCAGGGATGGGTAGGGCTGTCTTGCATGGTCTGTTGTTTTAAATAAAGATACAAGCAGTGATGATTTTTCGCCCAGAGTACTGCTAATGATACAGGCGTGCAAGTAAAATGTTTGTGAGAATGCAGGTTCTCATTGGGATTGCGGTACTGGTGGCCTAGTGATTTGTGTTCATTCACAGGTGAGAGCAAGAACTGCTGTGGGGGCAGGTGTTGGTGCTCCTGCTGATGTCGTGCACGGGCCTGGTTCTCAGCCAGAGTCTACAATACTGTTTTGGATTGCAGATGGGGAATAACATGAAAGACATATTGGTTACTCTCTAGGCCTTTGCAGTACTTACATGGTATAAGAAGTAATGCTCCTCAGTAGAACATGTAGAAGCCTAATATGTCAGGTAGACGGGTGGGCTAGAAATCTTCTTCTTGGGATTTTTTTGAGGAGGGGGATTCAGTTGTGTCAGCCTCCATCTTTCTGAAGCATTACAGCCCAGATAAAAGGTTACCATCTCAGGAAGAACCGGCCCGAAGTTTTGATCCCTTTCTTATATCTCTCAGTACGCTAAATACAACTGTCTGGAAACAAGCGCTGATGAACATAGTAGGGCCATTCTAGGATTGCCTTTGGAAGTTATTGGCATGGAGAAATTTGGGTAGATGATCTTGAGGAGATTGCTCCTGATTCTCAGAGGTCTGGCCTGCTTTCTTTTTTCCCTAGCCCAGCAAGAGGCACAGCGAGCTCAGTTCCTGGTGGAGAAGGCAAAGCAGGAGCAAAGGCAAAAGATTGTTCAAGCCGAAGGGGAAGCAACAGCTGCCAAGATGATATCCTTGCTTTGCTGTGGGAAGGCAGGCAGCTCCGCGAAAACAGCCCCTGAACTGCCAGACTCCAACCTTTTGTGTTTGTACTGATACAAGAGGCATCACCTTGCAACTGTAAAGAAAACATCACCAGTTGCTGGTCACCAGGGGGCATTGCTGATTGAAAATGCAAAGAGGGGGGATTACAGGGATAGCAAGGCATACAGAAGATGATGAGTACTGAAAGGCTGGGATGTTCCATTGCTGGAAAAAGACAAGCAGTGGTTTGACGTTGCTGCCTCCTGAGAATTTTTTTCTCTTCCTGGAAAGAGAGCCAGTGTGGTGTAGTGGTTAAGAGCATGGGACTGGGACTCAGAGGATCTGGGTTCGAGTCCCCGCTCAACCATGGAGCCAACTGGATGACTTTGGGCCAGTCACAGACTCTCAGCCCGACCTACCTCACAGGGTTGTTGTGGGGATAAGATGGAGGAGGAGATGTAAGCTGCCTTGAGCCCTTTGTAGGAAAAAGGCAGGATATAAATTGAATGAATGAATGAATGAATGCCTTCCTCATCTTCCCACCTGGAAGCAAGTAAGGTGTATTCAGCGGATGGGAGATGTGGAGTGGCAGTATGGAAAGGAAGACCACTCCTGCCAAAGCAGTATCCCTTCCAGGGGCTTTTTGTGAAGCATTAGGATGAATGCATTTGCAAGGTGGTGCAGCTCGATCCCAAGCGTGTGGGTTCTGGAAGGTGGCAACAGGCTAGAGCAGAATGGGCGGCACGTGGCCTGTGGGCCGTGTGGAGCCCCCACCCCGGGCAGACTCTGCTGCTCTCTGCCGCATGTGCTTGCTTTCAACCAGAAAAAAAAGATTTTAGTGGCAAATGGATACAAAAGCTTAGAATAAACAAGTTTAGCTTACTTTCAAGCTAATTTTATTCATTCTAACATATACATAGTAGTAAGCAGCAGCAAGCAGTAATTTTCCCTTCCCCCTCCCTGCTTTAGGAAATAGGAAGGAGTGTTTAAGTGGGCCCAGCAGAGCAGAATCGCATCCAGGGCTGTCTGAGGTTGCCCACCCTCTCAGTTAGACAGTAGGGCCCATGTTCCAAAACTTTGAGAAATGCAACCTGAACCAGCTTTTCACATTGGTGACGCTCTCAGCAAGAACCCAGGTTACATAAAGCTGCGCAAGATCCGTGCTGCCCAGAACATTTCCAAGACGGTGAGTTTGGGGGTGATGGAGTTGCTCTCATGCACCTGTTTCTCGCACAAGCGCTCCTTGTTCGCTGTATCAGGCCAAGTGATGAACCAAAGGCGAATATGATGCTTCTCCTGATGCCGCTGCCCCTTTCTAGTCCTTGCTTGCATTTGTTGCTCTAACAGGGGCTGGAGTCTCTGACCCTTGTTTTAAAAGTAGACACACATCATGTTCAATGTGCCACACCTAGCCGTGGACACTCACAGACCCCAGTGTCTATTGGCCAGGAAAAGGCTCACAGGAAAAAGAAGAGAAGCAAAATGAAATGCCTAAATTCAATGACTGATGGACCTGGATTGAAAGGAATCTGACAGAGGAGGATTAAAATAGTCTGTGTTCAAAGTCATTCTGGAGTTTGAAATTCAGCTCTTACCATTTCAAACCATTTTGTTATTTTCTGGGACTTAATAAAACTGCACTCATAACTGGTTTTCTCTTCCACCTCCTATTGAGTTTGGCAACCACTTTGATTAAAAATAATTGCATTTCAGTGGTGTATTTTAACTTTAAACAAATGTTTGTTCCTTGTTTCCTCCCCCCCCCCCGCCCCACTGCACAATGTAAGTGAAACCTTTATTTTAAGATTTTATATGCCATTTATATTTCCATAGAAAATCTCTAGACAGTTTGCAGTAATAAAATTGAAAATTTGTCCTTTCTGCTTAGTCCACTGACCTTCTGTATCTTGACTGACTCTCCTCTGTATGTGTTTCTCACAGATTGCTGCATCTCAGAACCGTGTGTATCTCACAGCAGACAATTTAGTGCTGAATCTACAGGATGAAGGTTTTACTAGGTGAGATGCTTTGAAGAATAGCTCCTTTCTAGACTTTTTGCTTTCTTGTGAGCTGCATCCTTAATTATGATTTAGGGAGTATTCTGAAGGCATCTGGTGACTCATGTGCAGTTTTGAATGGGCACCACCTGCCAGGTCTTTATCTAAGCTGCCTTGAGGTTGTTGGGGGTTTTTTAAGGAAAAGCATAGAAAGAAAAAATATCAATATGCACCCATTTACCTTTCTTTCTGAGTGTTGCATAAATGCAGATGTACTGTCAGTTCTCCAAGCTGTGCATCTGTCTTTCTTTCACTCACTTTTTCATGGGCACGTGCCTGTGTAAGTACTGTGTAACTGGCTTCTCAGATCATTCTAACCAATCCTTTGTTTCTGTTTCTTTTTCCTCCACCACCACCTTTTTGCTTCTCCAAAACCAGAGGAAGGTAAGAGGCTGTCTACTTTATTTCAATGTGTTATGGAGTGATGGTGGAATAGTAAGGGTACGGTCATTAACTGAATTGAGTTGTCTTTAGCTAACTAAAAAACCTTAGTAATTAGGGAACACATCTGAACAAAAGGCACTTTGAATATAACTACTTGGAATTTTGCAGCATCTGCCACCTTCATTTCTCAGGAAGAGTGAAGGAGGAATGCCTTTTCCGAGATGGCCCCTGTTGCCATGTGTGTCCCACCTAAAAGCATTGTGTACTGTAACAGGGAAAGGCAGTAATGGTGTTAGGAGTCTTACTTTGATGTGAGTCTTGGTTGTGGAAAAACAGGACTGGGGAAGTGAATCGGACTTGGCTTGTGTTAAAGGTGGTTCTGAGTGGAGCACACAGAAAGGCAGGAGATGGGTTTTTAATCACGGAGAAAAAGAGCTGCAGCTCTGTATGAGGGCTGTGGGCTGGGCTCAGTATGTCCACTTAGGAACCAAACTAGGCATGAAGTCCCCCGACAGTGAGTTTTATTTGTTTCAATTGAAATATAGCTGCAGGGGCTAGGAGCCTGGAGTTTGGGGTGGGTGTTACCCCCTTTCTTGCGTATTGTTTTTTTCCCTATCAAATAGTCTTCCTTTCCCAGTTCCTCTATCATGCGTGTCCATCTGTGTGTGTGTGTGTGTGTGTTGGGGGTAGGGACAGAGAGCCAGCGACTCCACATATTTACCTTCCTCAACTACTTTATGGAGAACAGACAAAGAAGGGACATCTACTTTCTTTTTCCTCTGCTGAAACTGGCAACTTCCACCGATTGCTTTTCAGATGAAACAAGCTAGGAAGAGAGATTGTTTGCATGTCTCTTGCATATTGTCTTGTTTGACTCTGTGCATGTACATTAAAGGGGGGAGCAACATTATTTCTACTACCAAACACTGGCCAAGTTCCTTCTAGATCAGCCCTTCCCAACCTAGTGCCCTTCAGAGGCTTTTGGATCACAACTCCTGGAATTCCCATCCAGCAGGGCCACTGACTGGGAATTCTGGGTGTTGCAGTCCAAACAGGTCTGGAAGGCACAAAGTTGGGGAAGGCTGTTCTAGATGGAATTTAGAACTCTGCACTTTCAGGGCTAATTTCACTGCTTACACAGATACTTTTGAAGTGGTCTAACAAGATAAGGCTTCCCAGAAAACTTTTAACTGTAGCTCCAAACTTATACCCATTTACATGGAAGTAAGTTCTATTGAACTCAGTAGGGTTTCTGTCTGTCTGTCTGTCTATTTATTATTTGCGTTTATATACCACCCTAGTAGCCCAGAGGGCTCTCTGGGTGGTTTACAAACAAGGCATACATAAGGTTGTCTGCTGTTTAGACAATCTGTTTATGCTTGGATGAATATCCTGATTGTCTCAGAAAGCAATTGTACAGATTGGAAATACTAGCTGATACCAGCCATTTATGTGTGGGTCCCTATTGCTCTCCGATGTCTCCATGCCCATGTTTTCATAAAACCAATTTCTTTCTCTCCCAGTGACAGCCTCCTGATCAAACAGCTGAAGAAATGAAGCTAGGGTTGCCTCCTAGAACGATCCAAGTGACTGGCTGCCTGGCTGCCATTGTGGGAGGACTGTGGACAGCATTGGTAGTGCCCTGCCCAGCTCTCCTGCCCATGTGTATTCTCCTTGGCCCGCTTCAGTTATCTTCACTTCTGTCATCTTCCCACCTCACTGCTAATAAGTCCTTTCTGGCCATGCTGGCCCGTTTCAAGAACTGCCAGCGACGGGAACCAGCTCTAGAATCAACGTCGTGATGAAATGGAGATTCGGCTCTTGCCCCATTAGGCACTGACCCCGTCTCTCTCAGCCTGAAGGAGCGGGCAAGCAGAGAGAGGCTGTATTATGCTGTCAGCAATTCTGTTTGCTGCTCGCCTCTTCCTTCGGGACTTTGTGAGCCATTGCTCATCTCTCACTTCATTGGGTGTCTGCTCTCTGCCCCCTCCCCTGTCCTGTGTTGAGCACCTAATCTCAGGAACAGATGGGTCATGGGCTACTGCAAGTGCTGTGATTGCCATTCATCTAAGTTCTATCTCCTTGTGATTCGCATCTTTATAAAAATAAATCAGGTCCTAAACTCTTCCAGTACTATTGTAAGTGGTCTGTAAATATTCCATCACCTTCGCTAGGCTTCCTGTTCAGTGTGTGTGCCAGGGAAATGACATGTGGCCTGCCAGATGCTGGACTACAGGTCCCATTATCTGACAGCTGTTTCACCTTTCTTGAAATGAAATACATTCTTTTGGTGTACCAGCTCTCCCACACTCTAGCAGTCTTTGCCTGATAACACAGGCGGTCTCGGTGTTCAGGACTACTTGGAAATGGCCTTTGTGGGGCATGCTCAGAACTTCTCAACTGTGTGGATCTATCCAATATGTCAGAAGCCATGATAAATATTGTAGATTACATTTGGGAACTGGTGTCTTGCTGAAGCAAGAAAATGGTGGTTGGAAGGTGGGTGGGATTCTTTGTGCCTCGCTTGTCACATTTGGATTGCTTCCCTGTGAGGTTTTGACTCAGCAGTTTCTTCCTCATGGGTGTTGGACTGCAGCAAATCAAGAAACACCCTCCCTTTTTGGAAAGGTCCTTGAACACAGCAGGTCAGTCCTGACAAGGCTGCCGCCGACCACAACATCGATATCTCTATTCCAAACTGGCCAGCTGCACCTTCCCTTCCACTGTAATTTAGTTGATATGAAGGAAGCACCGTAGAAATCTAGAGTATAGATAAGGAAGTCTTATCAATGAGTCTTAATTTCCTTGGGAACTCCCTAGCCCACAGAAATTCTTTTGAGATTTCCTGCATTTTTGGACTCCTGGGCAGAGAATCAAGGCAAAACTTCCTTTAAATACACGGAATTGGAACCTAGTAGAATTTATTGTCTTGCCTAGGTTAAAGTTGCCCTATCCATGTGTTGGATTGCTTGGCAAACATACTGAGTCAATAGTTAAAGGAGATTAAATGAAAGGGGCCTGTCATTCTCTGTGTACAAACTCCATGAGGCTGTCTCCTGGGAGAAGGATAAGGCATGGGAATAGAGGTGGTAGCTAGTCTTGCCTTGCAAGATGGAGCCACAAACATGCCAGTTTATCACAAGGACTGATTAGGGTTGTCCTGACCCTCCTCGAAAACTGAAACAGGTTCCTGAGAGTCCTTGGGCACTTTGCACTTGCCACAATAGTTAGGCTTGTTGACAGTGTGGTCACTCATAGCTTCTTCTGAGATGACTGCAGGTCATGATGACTGTGAGACAATTGCTCCAAGCCCTCTTCTCCTGGATAGAGTCGTTGATTTAGCTGCAACAGCAGAGTGCATGGGGCAATGGCTAGAACACAGGTAAAAGAAATAATAAAAATCCAGTTGTTTAACATGATGATAATGACAAAGCAACCCCACACTACATTCTTGCGGAGTTGACCAGTGGAATTTTACCATCTGGTACTGGAGCTCCTTCAGTGTGGTCAACCAACTGATGCTCTGCAGTGTTTATATCAGAGATTTGTAAAACACATTAAACTTCTGTGTATCACTCGATGTTAAAAAGAGTACAGTAAATTGGGAGTACAGATGTGCCGATTTGGCTTCTGAATAGAACGGATGAGATCTACTCGTGATAACTGAATCTTGTTCCGGATCAGATGGCTATGCTGTGGAAACTGGAAAGGCAGTTCAGTTCGGCCAGGAGACGGTGGCTGATCTGTTTTGTAACTTCAAGTCCCCATCCCTTGAAGTATCAGAGGTCTAGTCTGAGGATGCGCTTAGTCAAGCCTTGCCTTCGGTGGCTCAGTGGCATCTCTGGCGTGAAATGCCTTGACCGGCAAAGGCTGGTGTGTGCTGTGGTCCCCTCTAGGCAGACACAGCCTGTCCATGCTTGGCACGCATTGGTGACAACCCACTCGGAGTGCCCATTCCAAAGACCGCTTGGCAACCAGTATAAAACCACAACAGTTCAACTATGAACTGAGGTAGGTACATGGATCATATCTTGCCAATCTCAGAGCAGTTGCATTAGCTCTAGGTCCGTTTCTTATTTGAGTATAAAGTATGGGGTTTACCATTTAAATCCTTTAATGACTCTCAAGATACCTGAAGAGGTATATGTGAAGAGCTATTTAACAAAGGAATCATTTGAATACTTGCAAGTTTTCAGGTCCTTCTCAGAAAACTTCTGTCACCATAAAGCAGGGGTAGGGCTGTGATGAGGCCTTTCCTATACTGCCTTTGGAAGATGCCTCCTGGGCAGAGCATCTGGGAAAGGCACTCTTGCCCTCAAGTCTGAGTCCGCTCTTGCTAGTGAAAGGCCTCTCTACTTGCCCAGATGTTTTAGAACTTAGGTTTTTGTACAATGCTTGAATCTACTTTGTATTTTTTTCTTGCTGTTACTGGCTTATGCTGCTTTGTGGCACTTAATGTTTCTGCTGCAAGTTTCATAGCCACACAGACGGTAAGATGGAGAGCAGGCCAGGACACTTGCAAATGAAGGTAACCATTGACTGTCCCTGAACCAAGCACTAGGTAGTCCAGTCATATGTAATAGTGTAATAATAGGATGTGGCCACAAGAGGGCAGTACTCTGTCAGGAAACCCTATACCAAGGGCTATGGGGGAGGGAACTGCTACCCCGCAGCTGTACACTGGGGGGAGCAAATCTTAAGTCAACGGGTGCTCCCCAAGTCATTAAGGGGCTTTTCTCCTTTCTACTACTGGCAAGCTATTATGGCAGGAACACAGAGCAGGAAGAGGATTCTTAGCTGCTCATGAAGCAGGGTCTCCTGAGGGCTTCTTCATCCAGAGCAAAGTGGATCCTTGCAAAAGTAATTACCCAAAAGGATTTCTAGTTATTTGTTTCACTGAACTTCTCAGACATTCCATGGGGTTAGGTGATATTAAAAGAGAGTATTGTATTCCAGGTTGTATTCTCTCAGGGTTTGCCCGCCAAGCTCTCAGGACATTATTTTGAGCTAAAAGTCATAACACAAATAATATTGCACCTACTTTTGGTTTTGTTTGTGATGCACTTCAGGAGTAGATGACTTGGCTGGAAAGCAGGCCTTCCACCCCCCCCCCCCCCCCCGGCAGCCTTGGACACGATGCCTGTAGTGGGAGCAGCATAGTTGCTTTGGAAAGGGTGAATACTTACCAGCCCTTTGTCAGATGTTACCCCTTTTAAAGTACACCGTCAGGTGTAGCTGTGAAGCCCCTTTATAGCCCACTAAACTTCCTAACTAAGGCCATTACAAAACTTCTGCTAAATGGCATGTTCAATCATAGTATTGTAATTGGATTAACTCCAGTAAATACTCTACGCCGATCTTTTGTTCACAGGCAGCAACTGCTGTTCTCCATGTAGAAGAATGTTCTGTGCCAGCGATGATGATATTCCTCTCACAAGGCATCCCTGGCGGCTCACATAGTCCTCTCAGTTCCATTTTCTCTCTACCACAATGGCCCTGTGGAATCAGGCGGAGAGAGAATGGCTGGCCCCACGCCACCCACTCAGCTTCATCATGGCCAGGTGGAGACTAGAGCCTGGATCTCACAGGGCCTAGCATAGCACTTAACCACCATGCCACACAGACCCTTACGCTTTGGTCCTGCAAGTAAAGCACCAGGTTTTTGCATAAAAACTCAATTTTTTTACAATTCACTGTTAACATTTTGTTATGGGTGCCTGCCATGATTTGAGGAGCATTTTGCATCCACTCTCACCATAGGATGCTTCAAGTTCCCAATTCCTTTAGTTTCTGCTGTCAGAGTTCTGGTTGACCCTCCTGGGAAAGGCAAACTCCAGCATCCTGCACACCCAAGCAAAAGGGTATCCGAAATTGTGGCTCTGTGTCTCTCCACTTGCCTAAGTTTTGTTGATGTTAGTCGCGAAGTCGTGTCCGACCCATCGCGACCCCATGGATTACATTCCTCCAGGCCTTCCTGTCCTCCCCCATCCCCCGGAGTCCACTTAAGTTCACACCAACTGCTTCAGTGACTCCATCCAGCCACCCCATTCTTTGCCGTCCCCTTCTTCTTTTGCCATCTATCGTTCCCAGCATGAGGGTCTTCTCCAGGGAGTCCTCCCTTCTCATTAGGTGGCCAAAGTATTTGAGTTTCACCTTCAGTATCTGGCCTTCTAAAGAGCAGTCAGGGTTGATTTCCTTGCTGTCCAAGGGACTCGTAGGAGTCTTCTCCAGCACCACAATTCAAAGGCCTCAGTTCTTTGGTGCTCAGCCTTCCTTATGGTCCAGCTTTCACAGCCATACGTTGCAACTGGGAAAACCATAGCCTTGACTATATGCACTTTTGTCAGCAGGGTGATGTCTCTGCTTTTTAGTATGCTGTCTAGATTTGCCATAGCTTTCCTCCCCAGGAGCAAGCGACTTTTAATTTCTTGGCTGCAGTCCTAAGTTTACCAAGTTCGTATTAACTTGACTGTGTCTGCACATGCACTACTGTAGACATCAGTCCATCACAAGGTGCATTTAAAAGGGCAGCTAGATACTCCGAAGTCCCCTATCTGTGAGCACAAAACTGGAAAAGCTGCGTTCTTGCTCACATGCAGAGCCATGCAGGATACGGGAAGCTTTCCCCTTTGATCTGAGGGAGGGGGCAGTGCTGGAGCAGGCCTTCCCACTTCTTGATTTCCCCCCTTTTAGATTGTCTAAACGGGGTTTATGAACTTCCAGTCTCCCTCTTCCTCCTTTGTCTCTAATGTATGCTTCCTCCTGAACAGTCAGTATGTTAGCAGCTACTTTAGCCTCTGGAAAATATGTTTGCATCAACTCAGCTAATTTCCCCACAAAAACAGTTCTCTTCAAAAGCTTAAATGTTTATTAGTCTTGTATTTAAATTGTTAGTTGTTCCGCAAAAGTTACTTCCCCCCAAAGAAACTTGTGCATTTTAAATCTGGGTTTATAATCAATAAATACATGGTTTTGGTATTCTGATAGGTGATTCTGGGTTGCTTCCTTTGCCACGGGTGTCCTATTGCCAAAGCCTAAAGGTCCATTTTGGTGAAAGTGTGTCTAGTAGGAAATGTGCAAGTTTTTATGCCCGTCTAAAAGGTACACATCTGGCAGCAGTGTAATGATATCTGGTGCTGACTTGGGCAGGCATGAGCAGACCCCACATTTGTAGGATCTGGTTTGTTCTTCCTCAAACACTGAGATCCACCCACCAGAGATAGGAATAAAATAATGGTTCAGGAGGGTGGGCATACAGTGAGAAGTCAGGCTGAGGGAGCTTCTAAAGAACATGGTGGGCTGACTTGTCCCCAGCTGTTCTTTTTCAGCAACTATGGTTAAGTGGGGGACAGCTTTTAAATGCTGGTTTTCATTAACCAAAGAGGAGTCAGAAATCCTTGCCAATTTATTATAAATCACCCAGTGATCTACCAGTAAACGTACCTTCTGCCCACCCCTGGTATAGAGTGTGTGCTTTTAAGTCAATTCCCTGCTTATTAGCTCCAAACATTTTTGCATCTTGAAGCAAAATGTATAGTTTTGTTTAAAAAATCAGAATTAGAGTTCTCGGACAGAGGAAGGAGGAAATAGCCGTGCCCTCTGGAATGTGCTGCCTGCAGCGTTTTGCTTCACAGGGGAACTTCTAATCTGGCAGCGGTGGTGAGCCCAGAAGTCTCACCCTGCAATTCTGAGTTCGAAAATCCAATTAATAATTAAACAAAGCAAAGTCTACTAATGAAACACACCTACTAGTTTTGTCCTAAAGTAAAGGCAGCCATTCCTTTAGATTAGAAGACTGTCTCTTTCAAGAGGAACATGGAAAGGTTCAGTTGCTAAATAGAGGTTACAGTTGAAGTGGCATCCCTCTGTTGTTGATAAGAAAATGACTCAAATGAGTAGCAGAAAGAAACTGGACCAGGAAGAAAGTAACGCTATAAAAGCAATATTTAATCAAAGGCAGTGTAACCAGCTTCCTGACCTGGCAAGGCCTGGTACCTGGAAGGGCTCAGAGGTCATGATGAACAGAAGACTCCAGGGCCCATGATACAGAAAAGAGGCAGGAGGTTTTCCAGTCCTGAGAGATTGGATTTTGTCTGAGCCCCCAAAGCCTGACTTTTAAGGCAGGGGCAGGAAAGACCTAATGCATAAACTGGTGTATGTGAGAATCCAAGAGGAATGGGATGAGGGTGGTCGTGTCACAGTTGTTAGGGGCCACAAGCGGCACATCTGCTGAGAATGCATCAGAGGTCCCTGCAGCCCAAAACAAAACAAAACAAGCCCATACGGAAATGCTCTCCGACAGCAAAACGAGTCGGTGAGTCCTAGCTGGGAGAGAGCCAGATTCATTAATAGGAGGAGAAAGTGCCACCTGGATGGTCCAGCTGGGCAGGCTGTCCACAGTTCGATGAACCTCTGGGAAAAGTTCTGAGCAGAGCAGAAGGCGATGCCTGCTGCAGGTAAGACATTCAGGCAGCCTTGCTGGAAGCTGCATGGCATTACTTTTTCTTCAGAGAGCCCTTTGGTTTCTTCTCCCTCCCTGAAGGCCAAGGCCCTTTCTCCTCATGCCTGCCTTTGGTGTTTTCTAAATTCTCATAGAGGGTGAGTTCCTCCTTCTGCCTGTGTAGAGGAAAAGGACACAGAAGATGAGTTAGGGCAAGCTGAACCTGGCATATGGAAGGAAGTCAGAACATGGGTGGCTTAGATGTAATACCAGACCATGACGTGGTGTTCATGAACCAGCCTCGTGAGCACGCTGTCCCTTCCCCTCCAATGTGGGCATGCCCTCTCTTCGTGGCTTGAGGCAAAGCATCTTGTCTTTACCAGCAGACTAGAATGGAAATTAACATTCAAATCCTGGTCTCCAGTCTTGGTTTTCAGGTTGCTGTTTGCCGAACCCTCATTTGCCTCAAGCCAGGAAATTAGGGAGCTGTGCATTTGCAGGGGGTGCAAGGAGGAGAGCAGAGTGCTTGAGGATGGAGATCCTGCTAGGTTTATTCAGGTAGTGTCAAGCCATATCTGAGCCACCTGAGAGAGGCTCTCAGATATAAACCACTGCGACAGAGTCTCGCATCAACCCAGTTCTGTGCTTGCGGCATACATGTGTGCACACCGACAAGTCAGAGTCTTGATCAGCAAGTGCATTCCCATGCTAAGGAAAGCTATTGGTCCTTATTCTTGCCCCAACCCTTATGATAAAAGGGGCCAGTTAACTTCTTTTTTAAAGCAGCACAGACATAGTAGAGCCAGAAGAGCTGGCAGGTATTTTGGAGGTCATCTGGTCAAACTTTCATCTCCAAGCAGAACACAATTACAGCATTCTGTATCTGAATATCCATACTCTGCTCAACCACCTCCATCAAAAGAGAAACTACTATCTACAAGGCAGCAGTTCCACTAGGAAATAACTCATAAAGTCTGAAGTTTCCCCTGATGTTTAGCAGAAACCTTCCCTGTAATTTCTACCTGCTGGGAGTTCTGGTCCTGTGTTCTGCAGCAATGAAGAAGAAATCTGATTCATGTGCTGCAAGACAACCCTTCAGATAGTTGTGGATTAACTTTATCCAGCAGAGCATACCCAGCTCTTTCACTTATTCCTCACAAAACTTGGTTTCCAGCCCCTATTTATATGCATATTTATCTTGTATCTTAGCAGTGAAAATCTTTCAGAAATACATTGAAAAATTAGTGGAAATTTGCAGGGGTCAAGCGTAGTGCAGATTCAAAGTGAATGAGGCTGAAAAAGCAAACTATAAATCTGACGTTTATGTGTTTTAGAATTTGCCTCCAGAGTGAACAGGATTGAAGAAAATTGTCACCACCAAATTACCACTCTCCAAAAGTGACTGTTGCCTTCACCATGAGATACTTACCTGGATGATTTTCGCGAAGCCTTTGGATGTGAGGACTTCTGTGCGGGTGGGTAGGTTATATTTCCATACTCAGACTCACTGACTTTTCCTTTCTAAATATTCAGCAGAAAAAAGAAGAGGAGGTTTACAAAGTGGGGCGCTGTGGGGCTGCAGTGCTGTGTGCGATGACTGGTTTCATTTGTGCCCATCTTTCTACTAAGAAAATGGCACTCCAGGCAGCTTACAATCAAGTAACATTGGAATAGAACGGTAGTTAAGTGATGCAGGAAGCTTGGCTACAAATCTCTAAAGCACAAAACAAATATAGCGAGGATAGAACAGAAACAGCATCCCACCCAACATGCCAAAGTTCAGCTTGACTAAAAAGCACGAGGGTTGCCAGCTGTCAGAGGAACCATGAAATGGTAGCAAACTTGTCCTCCCTTGGCTGGAAGTTCCACAGCCTGGGAGCTGCTCCTAAGGAGGAGAACTTGTGCTCGTGCTCGTGCTCTTGCACACACACAGTGCAACGTGAGCGCTAGAAGCTGGATTTATATCTCCAGCCACAGCAAAAGACACCAGCCAGTTTCTGTCCCACATTGCAGAACTATGTAACTCCATTGTCAGGCTCCCCTGGAGAGTACACCATGCATACCTGAGCAGCAGTCACATGCCTGTCCGGGTTCCGTACCTGCATAATATCCAGCTTTCTCTTGGTGACCTCTATAAACTGGCAGATGGCCATGTAGATGAACTTGTACTGGGCTTCAGTTTGCACCATTCCTGAGCGCTGGGCCCGAACCATCTGAATGACCTTGGGGATATCTATGTCACAGTCCAGCCCTGGGACAGAATGAGAACAATAAAGGGGAAGGAGACAAGCAGTCTGGCTGAATACAATGGGAATTGCACTAGGCAGATCATCAGTCAACGCAACGGGGTGGGAGCAGGCTGTGTCTGCCTCACAGTCCCGGCGCCCTGCCTGACCTCAGACTGATGTGCTTTTCCCCACCTGCTTTCAGCTGACAGCCACACTCTAATGCCAGACTCCTGGATTTATTCTAGGGGGGACACCTGCACATGCTCTGATCTCTCCAAAGGCATCTGGCACGCAGGCAGAGTTTGACTCCCCGAAGCGGGACATCCTGCTTGAACACTCTCTTTGGAGGTACCAAGTCCCCCCAGGCAACCAGACGGACCATGTCCTGTGTGATGAAATGGGCTTCAAGAAAGATGCCCCCAGCCAGTCAGAGGGTGTAACTCCTAGCCAAAACAGGCTGCAAGGCCTGGCAGAGGGAGCAAGCAGGTAGTTGGCTGAAGTGAGCCAAAGCTCCGGAAGCGAACCTTGGTCTTTCTCCCTTGTCCTCTTTCAGTTGTGCATTTAGCAGTAGCACGTGAGACCACATGTGTATTTTACTTCCATTACATGTAAATTCTGTATGAAGGAAGCCCGCCAGTGTCGCAACGAGGAGAGGCTTAAGCCAGGCCAATCCTGTCACTGGTTGAATCTCCCTTGGGGACTGTGTTTACTGTAGGTTGCTGGCGACTGGAATTAAGTTGTTTTTCTTAAGGATTATCATTATTGTAGTGGTTCTACCCACCCACATGCCTTACAGACATTACTTTAAAGGTCATGTGCCTCCTTGTCATTTGGTTGCTGGGCAGCGTCTACTGCTGCGTGGATTGCTCCTCTCGGCCCCGTGCTGCAACGCGTGGATCCGCAGGGGCTGCTGAATCCTGGGGGTTCTGCTGCTTTTCTGGGTTGCTCCGAGGGTCAACATCATTACCGCCTTCACCCCCGCCCCCTGGCTCAACCCTGTGCCTTCAGGTGCTCCATTCCCCACTGCTGCTGGACATTGTCTTGCACAGTGCCATTTACGCACACACAACGGTGGCAGCCTGCTCTGACTGTGCCTCCATCTCTCCTCTCCGTGTGGCTGAAAAAGCTGCTCTGCCTATGCCACCTTGAGTGACCCTGCCCACTGTTCCAGCAGCTGCCACTCCAACAAGGGGGAAAATGGCGAGGGAAAGTGGGGAAATGCTTCCAATCTAAGCATTGCATTCCCCAAGCCAATCCCGCCTTCTTCCCTCCCACAGCAACTTTTAAGCAGCAGGAAGAGAACCATTCAGATTGTCTCTCTCCTAGGATCGTCTATGCCCTATTTTGCTGCTATGAATACATCACGAGAGATGGTAACAAGCTCATACCGAAAGGTGGGAAACCCAGCTCTGGAAAGTAATGCCCTTAAGAATGGAGGGGTGTGACGCCTCAGTGCTGGTGGGAGGGAGCAGAGAAAGAGCTTTGCCATTTGAGCTTGAAAGAACAAGACCCTGGGAAGCAGGTGGGCAAGTTGGAGAAGTTATTGCTGGTGATCTCATGCGCAGGGCAGCAGGTAACTGCAGTAGGTATGTGTATAAATAAAAGAAGCAAGGTAGGTCTCCAGGAAGTTCTCATCAAAAGAAAATGAAAACCTTTAATACTGCCCATAGGAACTCTCCTCCTTCAAGGAAGTTGGATGTGTATAACAATACCTGCCAGCCAGGTGTTGCCAAATGGATAGATTCCCATATTCCCCTGTCCTTGGGGGTTTCCCTCAGGCAGCTGGTTGGCCACTGTGTGGATGGCATGCTGGACTAGACCGATCATTAGTCTGAAGCAGCACTGCTGCTGTTGGCGGCCATTCCTGGTCAAACATTGGAGCTTGACGCTGACAGAATGATCCTAGAGAAGGGCTATTTTTGGTCAGCCAGCATGGTTGGCATGGGGATGCCTGAAGTCTGCCTGGCGGGAAGGAGTGGCCCAGGGACGCAGAAGAGAAGCGACCTCACCTTTTGTTGAGATCATATCCACGATCATGTCAATGACGATGATGGTCCCTGTGCGACCAATCCCAGCACTGCAGGGAAAGGCACAAATAGGTAAGAAACTGCCCTGCTGGATTCTACCAGTGTGGTTTGCCTGGGACTGTGTGTCCAACAGGTTGCTCTAACATCTTGATGCCTCCAGAAAAGCTCCAAGCAGGGCATGGCCCTTAGCAGTGGCTTGTCTGGCGCCCAGAGGCGTCCTGCATTTAAACACAGAGGCTGCAGCAAGTTGTGATGTCTAAAAATTCCGGAGAGATCCACTGCCCTCTATGAATCTGTTTAATCGCTTTCTCCCGGGGCTTGAAGGAGCGGTCATCCCACTTCTTGTGGAAGGGAATTCCAGAAATTAGCTCTGCGCTGTGTGAGCTCTGCCCCTCAGTCTCACGCACAACTTTCTTCTTTGTAGCAGTGGCTACTGCCGCGATCGTGCAACATGCACAGTACGCAGCCCTCTGAAGCAGGCTGCAACCTGTGAGTCCTGCTGAAAAAGGAAGGGCCGGCACGCCCACTTGCCGTGCATAATCTCCCACTGAAGGAGATCACTAGCATCGCAACCTGCACAGGCGCTAAGAAGTAATGGAAAAGCAGGCCTCTGCTTGAGTTGGGAGGGTTGAGACTTTTTTTGTCATGTGCCCTCAAAAATGTAGCTATATGCTTTGGACCTTGCTTGCAGCAACCTGGAATCAGCAACACACCACTGGCTTTCAGGGGGGCATGTCGCCTTTTCCAGATTGGTGTCCTCTCGTGAGCATGCAGCCTTCCTTTCTGCTTGCTGAGTATCCAGCAATGCACTGTCCCTGAGCGAACCGGTGACAGCTCACTCACCTGCAGTGCACCACGATGGGCCCGGCTTCTGGGACGCTCTCCTGCTGCTGATTGATCTGGGTGAGGAAGCCAAGAACTCCTCCGGGCTCACTGGGCACTCCATGATCAGGCCAGCTCAGGTACTGGTAATGCCAGATGTCTCTCACAGCCCCACCCTAGCAGGTAACAACAACACGTCTTTGTGTGGCTCATGTCTGCTGCCTCTCTTCTGTCATTCATCTGGTCCCCTTTGCTCTTCCCATCATGCTGACGGCCAGCAAAAGAGCACCTTCTAACTCCGAGGGACAACGGCCAAAGTGGAAGAAGCCAAAGTGCAGCTCTGCTGGACACTTTAGATGCATCCACACGAAAGATCTTCCATGCAAACCCCAAGGAAATAGGTGCATAAGAAAGCTGTGCTTTTCTGTAGCTTGAATGTATTGCAGGCAAATAACCTCATTTATTTATGTATTTATTCATCCATCCATCCATCCATCCATCCATCCATCCATCCATCCATCCATCCATCCAACTTAAATTCCACTATTCTAGTCTGAAGACTCTCTAAGCGGAGAGAGAGAGAGATGTGGTCCATATTAATTATTCATTCATAGGCGGGGAAAGTACCATTTGGATTTTCTGCCACAGGCACCAAAATCTTTTACTCCATGCCTAACGACCCTGAATCTAGCTAGTCCCTCAACCGGCCAGCAGACTCCCATCTTAACAGCCTTGTGCCAAGTGGTGGATCACGTCCCACCCATGCTGCCTGTTACAAGGAGCTCTTGGGATTTGTCCACCTGCCGTGATTTTTCTGGAGCCAATCAATAATAGTGCTGGAATTGCATAGCCTTTGTGATCCATGAGATGTTCCGGTGAACAAGGCAAGAGGAGAAATTTTAATATCTGAAGTCACCAACTGCATCCAGACAGAGAACTTTATTTATTACATTTATAGCCCACTCTTTTTCCCCTGGCAAAGAGCCCAAGGGAGTGTACGCAATCCCCCCCCCTCCATTTTCTCAACAACCCTGTGAAGAAGGCCAGGATGAGAATCAGTGACAGGCCCAGAGCCACGCAGAGATGGCCAAGTGGGAAACAGAATCCATACCTCCTGAATCCCCGCCCAGCTCTCTAACTGCTACGCCACACTGCCTCTCCAGTGCACTGCAGCCAGTGAGCAAAAGGAATTGTGCGACACTGCCCTCTTTTTTTCTTTCTGGGAAGAAAAAAGGCAGGGGAACTACTGGAGAAAAGTGGGGAGCAGAACTAGCAACTGAAGATGTCACCTGGGCTCCCCATAACAGTTTGTGAATGAGGCAGTATAAAGACAAAATACAAGCCTTACCTGGAGGTGCCCATGGAAAGCAAAGCAAGTTAAGCTGCTGCAGGATCATGGTGAAAAGGAAGAAATATAAAACACCACCAGCAGCAGGTGATACTTCTGTGGCTGCTTCCACACTAAAGAAGGGGTGTGGTGGGTATGACTCTCCTTTGGCTGTGATACTACAGAAACTGGCCACAAAGCTTTTTTGCAGTTCAACCTGTAGCCAAGATAACACTGTAGGACCTTGCAGAACCTTCCCACTCCTTAACTGGGATCTTTCTCCTCAAACGGTGCTCCTATCTGCTCTTTTCCTGAATTTCTATGGATATTGTTTTCGGTTTCATGCATCCCTGCCTCCCACTTCTAGGTTGCCATCTTTTGCTTCTTAGATTTTACTTTCCTTTAGGATCTAGATCAGTTAATGATATTGACCATCCCCAGAACTTGCTGGCAATGCATCGGACCATGAAATAACTCCAACTAAAACAGTTCTGGACTTACAAGCAAAAGACTCCACATTCATCCTGCCACCTGGAGACCTCTGCTTTATAGAAAAAGAGCTCTGGAGGTATCCTGTCCTCCAGACCTGTCTACAGCTATTTCCCAATAGCCTTCTATGTGATGGTCCTGACTCTGCTGTACCTGACACCACAGTCCTGCCAGTCTCTTTTCAATGAAAACAGTATCCTGTTCAGCACAGGCTGGCCAAGCTAATGGTTCCCACAACAGTCTCCAGGGACCATTATAGGATAGACGGGAAATCCCTGTCTGAGTTGAGGCCCAGAGCTGCAATCTCAGAGGAGGAGATCCAGGTTTGATTCCCAGCCTCTGCTTCTATGGAAAGATCTGTGGCAACCCTTTAAATGGTGAGCTCCCAACTAAGGACGTGTTGAGGAATCTGCTCTGGGGGTAGGAATCAGTCGGATTCCCAGGGCCTGGCTCCCCAGGACTCTGTTCTGTTTTGTTGCAGCCCTGAGTCCAAGTTCCTGGCAGGCAGGCCCAGTGCTCAAGCAATGCGTGCCAGGAACTGAGCCCCGTGTGCACGCTGCCCAAGCAATGCCCCTCTTCTGCATCATCTGCAGCAGCCTTTGCTTGTGCTGCACACAACACGGAAGGAAGCTGCCAGTTGTGCAATCTTCCTTCCACAAGTGTTTGTGGACTTCCTTTCTGAGACAGAGCCAAGCGTGAGAGAAGTCTGTGCACACTGGAGGGACAGATGCCGTGGAGCTTCACTGCAACCCTAATCCTAACACTGGGGGTGGCAGGAGGGGACCTTGGGCGTGGTGCAGGTGGAGAGGGGGAAGCTCTGGATGCAAAGGATACAGAGGCCTCTCAGCACCCACCCACGTTCTCAGCGCAGGAAAATATTTCAAGCAGGAGGAAGAACAACCATTAGTTTGGAAAAGCTTGAGCTCTTCAGCCTTGGAGCACGGTTACAATTAAAGGATTGTTGCTGCAGGGGGCCAATCTCATGGTCTCAGGGAACATTATGAACCAGGGTGGGTTGTTGTGCCATCCAAACCTGGAACATTTACTGTGGGTTGGCTTGCTTGTGTGCAACACGCCACCAAACAACCCACGGCTCATTGTATGGATTGTTCTACCCATGATGGGTTGGCCAGTTGTCCAGACTTGGATGACTGTCCCCATCATGGGCCAAGGAAAGCAGTGGGCAAGCTCTTGGCCAGAGTAACACTCCCTGCCCATTCGCCACTCTTGCCAAGCTTCCCTGTGCTGCTGCCAGGGCCAGCTCTCTCCCTCGTGGCCCAATGGCACTTCGGGGCAACTGACATGAGGTATGTCTCCCTGCCATTTTTGCTTGTTGCAGCTTTTTTCCACCTTTATCATTTTTTTCCCTTTTTCAGAAGATCACGATCTCTGGTTTGGCAGACAGTTTCACAATCACCATTTCAAGAACCCAGGCAGCACATAGAGGAACTGCCAGCAGGTGGTTAGACTTGGGGGGTGTTGTAACTACATCACTCTTGTTTAGTTATTGGTCACATGGCCTCTGAGATGCGGGAAGGAAGATTCACATGCCCATGTGGGGGCGGGACAAACAGAACAGCTTTACAATTACTGATTTGTGAGGTGTGGCTGCAGGAATATTGTACCATTGCTGAATAATTTCCATCTTGGAATTATTTTGTGGGACTTAGCTGGTTGGAATTGTTAATCCTCTCCTCAGAGGATGAGAGAGGCAAAAAATGCTATTATTGAAGCTCATGATATATGATTCACTGATTTGGACATAATACTGAGGGGTAGTCCAGCAAAATCCAAGGAACCTTAAGTATAGGGATAATGTGTATCAACATGGTTTGATAAAACATGTTTTGAGGTAAAAAAAGCACTTAAGGCCAGTATATCATCAATATACAACAGTTAACTGCAGTACTATCTTAAAAGGCTTTATAAATTCTGGATAGAAAAATACAAGCCAATGATGTATTCTGATAAATTATTATTTGTAAAAGCACACTAAATGCTTTTGGTCAATAGTTACAGCTGCATTAGACAATCTCTCAGGCTTAAGAACATACATAAGCCATGCACAAGTTTGGGAAAAATATGTTTCTGCAGCTGGTAGGGAATCCAAAAAATGAGATTCAGTGAATTTCCTTCTTTCCTCTGAGGATATTTCTGATTTTTCACACTGGACTCTGGTGACCCAATCTGAAAGAAAGATACTAATTTCCCAATAAAATCTGAAAAGGCTCCATGCCCAGATTTGGTTATGTCTGAACTATTTAATGACACATCTATGTCATTCATTCATTCATGGCTCTATTTAAACAAAGTAATTGCTCTGTTCAATTACTGGCAACTTGTCTGGGATTATTATAATTCCTAATTGCAAGGAAGGAAATAGAAACAATATTTCCAGCTATCCTTGCATCAATCTACTTTCAGTAGCCAGTAAACTGTATGCCTGTTACCTTAGTAATAAATGTGCTGCCTGGACCGAGGAACAAAATGTTCTGAATGATGAGCAGGCTGGCTTTAGAGTTGGTAGATCAACACTCAAACATTGCCTCATCTTAAAAGCCATTTATGAAAAAATACATAAGCTCTCCCAGTAATGCTGCTTTTGTACATTTAAAACCGGCTTTTGATTCAGTCCCAAGGGATAAGCTATAGGGTTAGCTTTATTCCCCTTCCATTAAAAATAATTGCTCTGACTATGCATTGATATCGGAGGACAACTGTACAGGTGAGGTGTGGCATTGAGGGCACCCTGACTTAATTGATCCCTGTTACTCAGGGAGTTAATCAGAGCTGTAAACCTGCACCCACACTACTTAATTCGCATCTTAATGAGCTGCCTAATCATGGGACTTCCAGGTCCCCAAACTGACTACAATTAGTATCACTGTACTCTTATATGCAGATGATGCTGTCCTTCCTTCCTTCACCAAAGTTTGTTTGAAATGAATGTTGAGAGCATTTATAACGAAAATGCCTTAATTATCAATGTTGGTAAAACCAAAATTACGGTCTTTTCTAGGTACTTCTCCCTAAATAAGTGGGTTATAGGTGGTCAGAACATAGGAAAGTTAAAGAGTCTAAATATTCTGGTCTTTGGGTGGCCCATTGGTCCTCTGCTATACAATCAGCATCTAATTGTACCAAAGCTCTATTCTGTTGTTTTTATATTAGAGGAAGTCAGTTTATTCTTGCTCCGCTCCAAATACTTAAGGCTTAGGTGTTGCTACAATTGTTTGGATTCCCAGTGGGAATCGGAAATTTTGCTCCCACTTCAGAACAATTACTCTGAGTCTTTTTATGTCAAATCTTGGAATACCTAATTGTGTGAGATCAGCAGTATTACAGCTTGAGACTGCGTCATCAGTGGAACGTACTGCTTGAAAGTGGATGCTCAGACACTGGTTAAACTTGCCTACGCAAGCTTTGATTCAGGATACTTGTCCCTTCTCTGGGAAGACAAATACATCAGTGGTCTAAAGCTGTCACAGATGAACTACTTATCCTAGGCTTTTCTGATAGCTTTCTCTTCACTCAGGGTATTTCACAAGCAAAATCTATTCTTGCATTCCCAATTAGGGATATAGATAACTAATATTTTCTTATCTGCTACCTGTACTACCTGTTCCCCAATTTACTCAGGCTTGACTTTTGATATTCAGAATGGTGCAAAATATCTTGAAATTTTATTATTCCTAAAAATCAGACAATCTTCTCTAAAACTAGATTCAGTGTACCCTCTGCTATAGTAGATGGTCATTTCCAGGGAATTCCCTATATAAACTGCTTCTATTTTGCCCATGTGGAGATGCAGTGATAGAGTTCCTACCCTATTAACTTTTCTCTTGTAATATTGATTCAATATGACATATGATTTCAATTTTAAATAAACTTCCTGGAAGACCTACTGGTTGGTATGTGACTTGGCTATTGGGTGGTATATACATGAATTTAATAATAAATTACTGACAGATTATTATTACATTGCCTTTATATCTTATCTGTCTTTGGCAAGTAACTCAGCGTGGCTTACAAAGTTCTCCTCTGCACTTTATCTTCACCACACCTGTGAGGTAGGTTAAGTTGAGCAGTACTGACTGGCTGAAAGTCACTCAGTGGGGACTAGAACCTAAATCTCCTAAGTCCCAGTTCAGCACTCTTAATCACTACATGTAATGGCTCTCCATTCTAACACCAGTATTGTTGCAAACATTCATATGTAACACAAGCTGTTGTAAACTTTCATTTTCTGTAGTTAAGATCTGCAAGGATATTCTCCAGATTTATATGCACTAATTTATTGATAGTGTTTTAAATATGTTACTGTTTTTATGTTTTAAATATGTCAAGTGCTGCTGTTCTTTGAGTTATCTATTTTGTCTTATCAATTATTTGTGTTTTAAATGGTGTGTGACTAGATAATAAATACGATGACAATGCTGTGTGCAAACATTTTTAAACTTAAAAAATAGCCACAGTTGTGCAACTGCGGAGGCACAGAGTTCCGTGAGAGTGAAAACAGGGAAACTCATTCCGGCAACGTCCTGGGGGTACCAACCCCAGCAGAGCTCCAAATAGGGTTTTCCTTGTTTTGGCGTGACAGCGGCGAAAAGATGAACTCATGAAAAGGGGGTGGATGAGTGAGATCCTCATCGCTTCTGCTTTTGCCCCGACTGTCCTCAGGGTCCTGCACCTTTTGCACTTTCCTCTAAGGCACTAACTGCTTGGGAAAATACAAAAGTGCATCTCATCCCACTTTGTGGGGAAGGGTATTTGATAGCTAGCTCAGGCTCCCTTTTAAAATAGGGTTTAGATAAGGCCATGGGTATTTTTTGATAGGGACATATGGCTATATATAGAGGAATGGACAGGGAGGGAAAGAACAGGGATTCACAGCCCTCTTGTGCCCCAAGCCCCTGCCTCCCCTTTCAATTAAAAGCTAAATAAACGTTTAGCGGAACATCTGTGCAAATGGTAGGTGTGTAACCTTGCCGCTGTTCGAGTTGGATGGATAGATAAACAGCGTTTGCACTCCCAGGATGGAATTTCTATGGTGGAGCAAAGCAGAAGTTATAAATCAAATGCAAACCCTAACCATTTAAAAAGAGAATGGAGGATGTGTGCAGGCGAGGAAATTTCTTATCACTAATTTCATTTTTTTAAAACCACCCTGATAGGCATCTGTGATACCACACAAGTAAAGCGAACTAATCCCCTAAACCACTGTTCATTACAGACAGTGTGCTGAAGCTGTGAGGGCAGGGACGGAGACTCTTGGACTCTGCTGCTGAGCTTCGCTATCCCTGTCCTTGCTGAGGGCTGCTCTTCCTGTTTCATTTGTCTTCACCACTCCCTTACCCTTCTTCCCAGTGACTCTGTCTCACTCTGTCACCTTTGTCCTCTCAGCAGCTCATTCTTCCAGAGACTTCTCTCCTCCATCTCTTCCTCTTCGAACCTGCATTTTCCTCCTATATTCACTGTCTGCCCAGCTCCAACATGCCACTCCTTTCCTCCTTCATTCCATGTTCTTTGCGCTTTTCCCAGCTCCCATTCCAGGGCCCATCAGAGGAGCAGTTCTTCCATCTACAAAAGGAGTAGGAGTGAAAAGGCCAGAGGCAGGCAGCCCTCCATCAAGTCACTGGCCTTTTCTTTCCTTATTTCTCCTTTTTAAAATGGTATGGGGCATCAAGCTAGAACACATGTGTTCTCCAGTGTAAGGGGAGGAAAGCACCAAAACAGTTGTTTCCCCTTTCCACTGACTCTGTAGTTACTTCTCTACACTAAATGTGTTCCTTCCCCCTATGTATAACATGGAGGGGGAGAGGAATGCAGTGACAGATCCCTGAAAATACTGCTTTAACACTACAGTAGTCCCCAGGTTACAGACAAGTTCCATTCCTGAGAATGTCCTTAAGTCGAACGTTTATGTAAGTCAGAGCACATGAGTAAGCCAAATGTTTGTCGCAGTATATGTATGTACCTTTCTATGCATACAAAACACTTAAGAAACACTTCCATATTCACTAAAACATCTTAAACGCAATATACCATTGTAATAATGGTAATAATACAGTAATGATAAAGTAACTACAGGTACTGAAGAGAATCTGTATGTGTGCAGATATACAGTACTGTAAAAAAACAAATAAAAGAAACAGTTCTTAAAGGAGTTTAGAACATTTTTGAGGTAGCATTAAGCCTGACATTAACTGATGATGATGGAGATTGACCTGGTGCTAGAGAGGCAGGGCTTGATTGTGCTGCTGGAAAGGAGAGTGGCTAGCATTGGAGTGGCTTTCTTGAAGTCGGCCTCAAGGGTTGTTTGTACACCATGTTCTTTTTCTCATCATAAATGGCTTTATGGCAGCTGAGGGCCCAGTTGCAAGGGCAAATGCTGCAGAAGAACCAAAGGGAACTATGCACCCTACACAGGCCCGAAACACCCTGGCTTGGGTATGCTGGAGCTGACTTCCAGAATGAAAAGCCACGACTTCTGTATCTCTAGGGAACTAGGTGCCACTGATGACGCCTTGCCAAATGTGTCCCATAGTTCTCTAGAGATACATCACACCATTCTTCGAGACAGTTATTTGCTAGAAGTAGGCAAGGCTATCTTTAGAAAAAGGCTGTGAATATCTCTAGGAAATATGTTACCACTGATGACATGTCACATAGTTTCCTAGGGATATTTACAGCTTTTTGTTATAGATATTCATATAGGGTTTATGGCAATCCACGTGTCCGTAAGTACAGGTTATTCATAACCTAGAGACTACCTGCATAGGTAAGTCCTACTTTTTCCATCTAGAAACTTCTGATATTGTTCTGTAACTTCTCAGAGGCGACAGGAACAATTTCTCTGTGAGAAACCTCATAAGATATACCATTGCCTTTTTCACAATAAAACACCATTTTACTGACAACTATGGCTTCTTCTAGTGACAAATAGGCAAATACTTTGCAGATCAACCGCAAGCAGAGGAAGAGGCTGGCTGCCATGTGCAGCACAGTGGTGTGCCTCATACCTCACAATAAAATCATTCAGACTTTCCAGTTACCTAGCACGTTTCCTGGGTAAGCCACAAAAAATAAAAAAACAGCAAGTTTCTCGCTAGCCCCTTCTTTGAAACTTAACTAATTCTAAAATGCTGGGATCAATTTTCCTGCAGATCACATTTCCGAAACAATTTGCTGAGTACTCACATTATTGATTGGTGAAAGACGAAGCTGTCGGAGTTTATACTCCAGGGATTCATGTTCTCTAACATTCTCCACTATGTACGGCCCGTACTCTTTGGTGCTTCCCACCTCCGGCCAGTAGGGGACACATTTGTTCTGTCAGGGAACAGGAAACAGTCATTCCTATGGAGCTTGTGCCAGACAGAAGGAAGAGGATAGATCAGAGCTGCCTCTAAAGTAAAACTTGAAGCAAATGTGTGCTCTAAGCCTCAGGTGAATACATTTTGTAGGGAACCTAAAAGAGTTGCAGTGTGACTCCAGCAAGGGAGGATGTACACTGGAGCCCCCTTATCTATGAGGCAAATATTCCCCGTTATATTTTCATATCAATTACTGCTGTACACATTAATGAGCACAGTGCAGGATCCGCTGTTCATTATGCAGTCAAGTGCCATGCTGAAATGGCTAGGGTTATAATTGCAGGAGAAGTGTGAGCTGTCACATGTGTTTTATTATTTGCATTTCTGTGTGTGCACAAGCCACAAGGTACTGTGCTAGTTTCACAAGAAGTGGGAGGTCATTCTGCTATTTCACACCTGTTTTTAAAAAAAAAAAAAAGTTTTAGAAGTCCAGTAAGTGCAATCACACCTTTGCAGCTGTGCAGAAATGCAACTTTTAAAATAGATTGTCTGATTATTCACAGCTGCATAGGTTTGCTGAGAAAAATAGCCTTAAAAATCAGTCCTATCAGAATTTGGGTGAAGAAGGACAAGGGATAGAAAAGAGGTAGAGAGTAAAGATGTAGGGCATGGGGGAGAAAATATAGCTAAATGTTGCTAAACGTATTCTGTGGCTTTAAAGCCATTCCCATCAGGAGGTGGTTTAACGCTGCTAACTGGAGCACATACATTGCTGCTGGGACACCCTGGTTCTGTGCACTGTGAGAACACAATCAAGCACTGAAACTGGAGAAACTGTTACATAGTGCTTGGGGTGAGGGAATGAAACTTTGTGGGAGGAATGACATCAAGGTAATGGACTGCACTGTTCATCTTACAAATGAACCACATGTTACATTACCAAGATAAAACACTTGTACAGATTAGGCCCAACTAAACTTTCTGTGTAATGGACCACCTCTTCCATGAGTGATTTAGAATGGATGAGCAGCAGGGAGACAGGGAAAGATGATGATGTTGTAATATGTTTTAACTGGTATATTTTATATTGTTTTTAAATATGCCTCTGTGAACCTCCCAGGGAACTTGGGCTTTAGGCGGTATAGAAATTAAATTATTAATAATAATAATAATAACCCTTCTCACAGCTGCTGCTTTGCCACTGAAAATCTGATTCTCCTTCCACCCGCAGAACCCCTTCCAAAACCCGTCCCCGTGGGCTTCCAGATGCAAATGCATCTGAAACCCCGTGAGTCAGAACAGTTGCTGTGGGTGGTCCATCTTCAGCAAAAGCACAGTAGGCAGGGAAGGTCAAACAGCAAAGGTGTGATCATTTCGCTGCTCCAACTGACCCTCTTCCCACACTGCTTTGCAACACACAGACTGCTTTGCAAGTGCACTTCCAAATGATTAACTTTTCTCAGAACTTTTCACATTCCTCTGGGACATGAAAACTGAAGAAAGTGAAAGATAAGATATACTGGGAAGCTGGATGGAAAGGTACTTTGTTGGAAAATCATAGATGCCCTTACCCTTCCTTTCTCCACCTCCCGGGTGGTCATTACAATGATGCGTGAATTTTCTTGCCACACCATCTGCCAAAAATCATGGACTGTGGCATCCAAGCAACCTTGGCTGGCAATGTACATTTTACTGCATTCCTCAGGACTGAAGAGCTTGTTCTGCAAATAAAAAACCAGGAAATTTTTTAAAAGACCAGGAGCAAATGCACTCCATCTCTTTCTTTCTGCCATCATAGCAGGATACTTTTTCTTACCTGGATGTAGTTGGCATTGATATAATCAGACCCACAAATGTTTTCATCTCTGTCTTGGAGGATCACCCGGGAATGGTCAACTAGAACAAGAAAGCACTGATGTCACCAAGGTATGCTTTTTGTAAAGTAAACTTTTCAGCCAGCTCTTCCATGGCCCAGGCCAGGCATAGCAACCAAGATACTGGAACAAAGCTAAATAAATAAACAAACCACTCTCTCCTTGCTATAAAAGAGGGGTGCAGACTTATTCAGAATTAGCAAGCCAAAGCAGTGCCACCCTGCTTCTTGGGGCTCCTTCTAGCGGTTGGGCTTAAGGTCTAAGCCTTGCCCCTTGGAAGAATCCCAGTAGCTTGCCTGGGCTGGAAGCAGGTACCTTGCAGGGCAGATGAGGTCTGCAATACAGCTACCACAGGACTAGCCAATGGATTCAGAGGAGTTTGGTTTTCCCTGAATTTGGTTGTTCCCAAATTGCACAAATTCCACAGCCTTGTAAACCAGTGTTTTTACTTTCCATAATTCTATGCAAATTTAATTGTAGAAACATGCAAAATAAAAGACACCCCAAACACTGAACATACATTTTTTGAGGGGATTTGGGAAGATTTGCATTTGGGAAGATTTACACACTTACATTTGGGAATGATTTACATTTGGGAAGATTTACACACTTTCTGAAGTGAGAATTTGCACAATGCCTATGAGCACATTTGTTCAAAATCCATGATGGAATGAAAGACTCCACGAAATGCAGGAACTACACCACAACATTAATGGGTTGGCAGTGAGCTCCCTCATTCAACTGTTTAAGAAGGCACACAGACCCAGAAAAAGAATGGGATACTATGTAATTTATGCAATTTACTACCACAGGGTACTATCTACCACCAAAGTATCTTAGCAAATTGGTTAGATCACTGTCACTAAAGGGAGAAAAGTATCTCCTATAATTCTGGGGGGAAACTGCAGGATAAGGTCTTAATGCTGTGGTTGCCCATTGCTGGAAACTGAATGTTGCACTAGAGGAGACTTATCCAGAAATGCATCGCTGAAGCTATTATTTCTTAGGTAACAACAGCAAGCATTCCAAAGATATAATCGCATATCCACTGCCGCAGAGCCACCTTGGGAGGATTCCAACCATAATTTCTTGATTCCCCGCTCCCCTTTTCTGTGTTGAGAACTTTTCATTCTGCTGCAGTGAGCAGGCATTGGCCAAATCTACACATGAAACAGGATGAGTAGATGGAAGTCTTCTTGAGTGAACTGCTTCAAACTGCAGGTGGGTGGGTAGGTGGAGGTATTATTTTTGAATATTTGTGTGTGTAGAAGAACCTTCCCTGTAAGCAGCTAATTTACACCAGAAGGTGAACACAGAAAGATTTTCACGAGTCTTGCTTTTTGTGAGGTTTCTGCTTCTAGGATGCTATTTTGCTTTCTTAAAGGAAGGGAGCACTCAACAATATGATCTTCTCCAGACCACTGAAATGGTACATGTCAACCTGTCACCGTAGGATTTCTCAGAAAGAGAGGTGGAGTTCTAGACTTACATGGCAATATGTTCTTATAGCGATTCTTGCCCTTGTTTTCTGGTCTCTGGCCTTCATGCCGATCATACAAGTTCTTTGTTTCTTGCTTTTGCAGGCTCTGAAAGAAGTAGCAATGAAGCAGAGTGCTTAATTATGGCATGCAGCTGGAGGAGACAGACTCATCATACAGCAGAGCTGCAAACACTTGAATGCTATACTTTACAGAGGCACTGTGGCTGGTCACTTTGGGCCCCCTGGGTCAGGATATGAGTCATGGGGAGCAAGTGGGCCTCCAGGACAAGGATATTCACCTCTGCTTTAGGTATCAACCACCCCATCTTCCTTGCCTCCCTCTGTTGCCTATTATATCAAATGCCTGGGAATACATGCTGCAGCGGAGGGCTTCTTCTGTGCAAGGTGCCTTGACCAAGCAATGGCACTGTGTAAGATGAATTACTGCTGTTGCTAATTATTATTATTATTATTATATTATTATTATAATAACAACATTTCTATGCCGCCCCTTGCCGAAACCTCGGGGCGGCTTACAACACGATAAAATACAATGAAATACAAAGGCATGCTGAATGGAAGTGGCGAAAGTACTCCCTAGTAAGGGGTAGGTTAGCAACAGGGCAGAAATCCTTGGGCCATGGGGTGGGATCTAGTCCTGGTGATGCATTGCAAAGAAGAGGAAATGCCACAATTCTCCACTCACATCAAATTCCTCCCAGAAACCACCTTTGGCTGCTTCTTCCATTTGGCTTCTCTTGTTAAGCATTTGTACTCTGTTCTCGATGTCAGCTGCATTTACTCGGGTAGCATTGAAAGGCTAGGGAAAGAAAGAAATGCATGGAACCAATACATTACTTTCCTCAAGTCAGGAAGTCAGGTAGGGCCAGAGAGCATTATCTTTCAGCATCTCAGTGTCTAGACTAATTTGTAAATACACTCTTGTTGCACTCGTGACATAAAGAGTAGTCTCGTGAGCATTCTGAAAAATTCTTCAAAGACAGTCAGAGAAAGCTGGAGGGGAATCTTAGAGCTGTTGACCCACTTTCTCCATCTATTGTTGACCTAGGCTTATCTCTCAGCTTAGCAGCTACTTTCCCTACAGGTTAGGAGGGTGGGGAACAAGGAAAATTATTTGCTAAGCAGAGAGGAAAAAATACAGAGATGAACAATGGAGAAACACATGATCTCCAGGACAGCCTTCAGAATTCTTAACAGTCAGAGTCTGTTTCACACACAGTTGCTTTTCATTTGATGAATGTAATATAGAGTCGGGTTCTAAACAAGAGGCAACAGAAAATCCAAAGTGACTTGGAGGGTGCTGTATTTGAGATGACATAGCATTGAATCATCTATAAAGTTAGATTTGCAGTCATACACAAATGCAGAGTGACCATCCTTGTATTCTCATAAGTAACATGTCATTCAAGAGAGCTTTTGAGAACTGTCTCAAAAACATTGTCTTGGTATGTTTGTTTGCTTATGGTTCACATATTATGCATATTTGTACAGGTTCACACAATCACATGACCATGAGTGTTGGACATGCACCTTGTGATTTCCCTAATTACCCTCCAGGTGTGCAAGTAGCCACAGGGTTGGCTTCCAAACCACCACAGAACCCTACAACAAGCCATGATTCTGGGGTGGTTTTGAAGCTTCTCCAACAATCTAGCCAGCTTAGGTAACATGGCAATCCATACACTCAGGAGGTGATAAGGCAAATCATGTGGAACATGGTCAGCATACATATGGCAGGGAAAAGAAGCCATAGCGGGTGACTGTGGGCATCTAGACACTATGTAGTGAGGAGCCTCTTCCAATTCAGACTCCACATGACACGTACCTGTATATGAGAACATCATGTGCTGTCAAGTTGCCCTCAGCTTGTGGCGACCTGTGAATGAAAGCCCTCCAAAATGTCCTGCCCATGACAACTCCATTCAGCACTTCCAAGTTCAAGGCTGTGGCTTGCTTTATGCATTCATTCCATCCCATATTTGGTCCTCCCTTCTGTCTTCTGCCTTCAACTTTTCCTAACATGAATGTCTTCTCCAGTGAGCCTTGCCTTCTCATGATTTGTCTGAAGGATGACAGCTTCAGTTTTGGCATTTTTGCTTCCAGGGAAAGCTCTGGGTTGATTTGATCTAGAACCCATTTGTTTGTCTTCATGTCAGTCCAGGATATTCATGAAGTTCTCCTCCAGGACCACGTCTCAAATGCATCAATTTTCTTCCAGTCAGCTTTCTTCTCTGTTCAGCTTTCACACCCATACATTGCAATTAGGAATACAATAGTTGGGATGATCTTGACTTGGTCTCCACTAAAGTATCCTTGCACATGATAATCTTTTCCAGTTCCTTCCCTGCCGCCCTTCCAAGTCTCAGTTATCTTCAAATTTCTTGGCTGCTGTCTCCCTTTGACTGAAGCAAGGTATGAGAACTATTTCACAATGTCAATGTCTTCATTATTTACAGTGAAGCTCTGTAATTCTTCTGTGGACATGATTTTTGTTTTCATAGCTGCAGTCCTGCTTTTGTGCGTCGTCTTTTCACTTTTATCAGCAGTCATTTCAAGTTATTGCTGCTTTTCTGCCATTAGTATGGTATCATCTGCATATCTTAAATTGGTGACATTTCTTCCACCAATTTTCACTCTGTACCTGAATATACTGTCGTGTTTTGCAAACACATTTCCTACATGCACACATGACGTATTTATAAAATTATAACTTACATCCCTTTGGCACCAGGTTCAGACCATCCTCTACCACAGGGCATTTAATTAGTTTACTGGGGTTTTGTTAGATGCTTAAACAGTTCTTATGATTTAATTTGTACTTGCTAGTGCAATTTTTTGTCTGTGTTTAAATTTGGTTTTAAATTTGTGTAAGGCATTTTTAGATGTTTATAATGTTGTTTGTATTTTATATTGTATTTTATTTGAACTTTGGCTATTGGGCAGTATAAAAATAAATAAATGTTTCTTGTAAGACTTTACAATGTGTTAAATTATCTTTCCACATCCACTGTAGAATAATAGGCATAGAATTCTCTAGCCTATCATCATCATCATCATCATCATCATTTTCTATGCTGTCGCACTGCTGTAGCTTTCTGGCCAGTTTTCAACAATCCATAAAACAGACAATAAAATACAATAAAAATCATAAAAGCAGAAAAACCTGGAATGGGTCATCCCCTCAAGCCCCTAGGTAAATATCCCCGAAGTATCTCATAAAACAAATTTCCACTTACTTTGAAACTGCATAATCTGATTGTCACTAATAATACCAACAGCATTTCTCTCACATTAAGGTACATCCCTTAACCATGTTCATGAATATTCATGTTCAATAATTTTACGAAGCAAATCTTATCTGCTACTAACCATCATTACCTCAGACCATGTTATTCATTGGTTATGTACTTTGACATCTTCCCTAACAACTATACTTCCTAAGTATCTAATAATGTCTTACCAGTTATAATATTACTAATTAATAAAACTTTCTCACCAGTAGTTCCTTTCATGGGGGTAACTGCACTGCTTGTATACCTAGATGCCTTTATGAACGCAGCTCTTCCACCACAACTCTGCTTTTTAAACATTTGCTACAGCATTAACTATTGTGCGAAAATTATATTTGAATGTGCCTCTAAGCGTTAAGCAGACAGACACTGTCCTTGCCACTGTCCAGATACACCATCAAAACTGCCATTCCACCCACTTGGCTTCATCATCCTTTCCCCACACATGCAGCTGTGCCACTGCTACAATATGGGTAGGTACATTATTATTATTATTATTATTATTATTATTATTATTATTACATTTTAATAATGCCCCTTACACTTGGCATCATCAAAACCTGTGGGTCAGGTAAAGTTAGTTTGCAAAGCTGCTTCCTCCTTGGATGTACCAAAACAGTACTGGAGAACAACAGCAACAATATCTTACTTCTTTGCCGCAGCACATAACACAATGGGACCGAAACATATGAAGTTGAATTTAATTTTAAATTGGGTGTTTTATGGATGCTGGTCTTGTTTTTCTTTTTAAAAACAAATACATTGTTCTTTTTAAAAACAAATAATATATATATTATTTTTGCTGAGCTCTCTTTCTCTTGTACATTCCTTCAGATGTTTAAAGAGAAGCACTTAACAGGCTGTACGTATAAGTAAATGACATGGAACAAGCCAGCGCAGGTGAGCTAAAGGTCTATGTGCACATCCACATTTACCTGTCGCAAATATACATGGGATCCAGATGCCTCCTCAATACCTGTCTTCTTAAAATGCTCCACCAGGTCGGCCAAACTTCCAAAGTTCTCTGCACCCCCAATAGTGTATTTCCCCTTCTGGAGGAAATAAAAAAGAATTGTTCATTCATGTCTTTTATGTCATATCCTTTATATATGTCTAAACTCCTCGTTCCCATATATTATTTTGTGGAGGGCTATCACTAAGACCACATTGTGGTGCAAAGTGATAATTCTAATGGTTAGCATTTGCATAGTAATTAACTAGGCCCATAATCCACTGGGAAGATCTCCTCTGTATGCCTCACCGAAGTGAATGGGAGCTATGCAAGCCACTTTTACACAGTTCCCATTCATTTCAGTGTGGTGCACAGAAGAGTTTCCCAATGGATTATAGTCCATGGATCTGATCTGCCTTTGCCACTCTGCACCATTAAGTCATCCTAAAGCAATTGCCTTTGGTGGCCATCTCACATTCTTGGGAGGGCCCCATCCAGTTATTACACTGAGAAACAAACTAATGACTGACTTGGCTTCGTTGTTCTGCAACTAGCCAAACGCCTCAAGTCGGTCTGTTAATTTGGGTCACTAACTCCAATTGCTGCCCATAAAAGCTGGTCCACTGCAATTTCTTGTGGATTATTTCACGCGTAGATTTGTCATGGATTCATTCAGCTCAGTAGCTGGGTGTCCAGGGAGTTAGTGACCTGTTTGCCTCTGCATACCATCCAGATTATGTATAGCTGCTTATGCAAAGGAGCTCTTAAGCATTACACTTAGCCAGAATTTTGCTCTAATTGTGGAGATTTGCCTCAACTACATTTGTTTTGGATTGATTTCAGGCCATCCAGAATCTATGTCCAAAGTGAATCTGCATCACCACAAATTCAAATTATTCCACTTATCCCTAATATGGTTTATAGAAACAAACATTGAAATAACAATTTGTACACATCTAAGCAAATCTAAAACCATAAAACAACTAAAAACAAGAACTGAAAAAGCAGGCCATCCAGATAGATTGCTGAAACAGTGATACATCACCTTCCAAAAGCTCAACAGAAGACTTAAGTTTCTATTTGTCTTTTAAAGAGAGAGGAAAAAATAAAGCTATCTGAATATCATGAGGAAGGGAATTCCATCATGTAGGGGGCTTAAAAGAACTTGTTCCTGACAAAAATGGACTGCTGGCTGCTGGCTTCATAAATGTCGTGGGGATGTGCTCATGGACTCATCAATAGCTTGCCTAGAGGCCTCTCGCCCTTCCCAATACTCAGCCTCAGTAATTCATAATGGGAGGAAGCAGGTTGTGTGGAGGCCTTTGACATGTCTTAGGTGGTTGGACATTACAGAAACTCTCACTCTCCTGCTCCCCTGACATGCATAGTATATAGACAGACTGTCCAAAGTCCTCACAAACCTGGTGTAAATCAGGCGGATGTTCTTCAGGGTGAGAGTACACACTGGAGAAGGCCACCTTTTGTATTCTCAGGGAAGCTGACACTAGAGAGGGCCTGTGGTGCTGCTTCCTTGAGTAAAAGAGCCACCACGGACATCACTGTGCACATGAGAAAGCGTCAAACGGCTCTGTGTGTAGGTCAAGCCCTCCCCTTGAGAATACCTGTCTCCAGTGAAGTACAGATGGGCAGCTGACAGAGGAAGCCTAAAGCAACCAGGCCAGGCACAGATTTCCCAGAAGCACAGAAGCGGGTCTCTTAGGATTATTACGTAACTCTATGAAGCCACAGAAAACGATGGCGCTATGCAAATCATCATCTACAATCAATCTGGATCATTACTGAACCCGACTGGGAAGAGTTCGCACCTCTCTGCACTTACAAAGTAAAAGATTATCATCCTTGGGGTTGCCAAGTACCAGGTTTTCACTTGCAGCTTCAGAGTTTTAACCCCTCTCTAAGGGACAGAATCAAGGGGAAGGCTAGAAAAGTTTTCACCATTTGTGCCCCAAGTCTGTCAGCTTCTAACCTGAAGTGTCTGCAGGCTCATCCTTCAGCCCCTGCTTTGTCCAGACATGGCTGAACCCAACTGCAAGCTCACCAGCTCCACCAAATGCCATCCTTAGCATCCTTGTTCTCTCTCCCAAGAACACCTGCCATCTCAGTGCCTTCTATGGTGCAAGAACACAGGGGTCCCTTTTTAACCCCTCTTACCCTTCCTCAGACTATCACCATTGTCCAACACGCAGACTTCCACTTCCTTTCCTGTCCGGGTTTGCAACCTTTCCTTTTCCTATAGCTTTCACTTCCTCCCACTGCCCAGTTGTTTAGTGTTGCAACAGCAAACACATGTGGACTGATATAACCACCCAGACGTGCAGGTCTAGAGTGTTGGATTTAGGACTGGAGAGACCTGGGTTCAAATCTCCACTCAGCCACAAAGCTTATGATTTGACCTTGGACTAGACATGCTATTTCAGCTAACCTCTCCCATAAGACTAAATGGGAGAAACCTACTTTCAGAAGGGTGGCTTACAAAGCTGATAAACAGTATAGCAAACAATACAAATATTATACTCAAAGGTTTCTGGGTGAGACTGGGACCATAGCATGGAGAGAAATGCCAGCCAGGAGTGCTTTGAATATTGCTGTGTATAAAGAGGTTTCCAGTCTCCTTTCCCCCCTTCTGTACCCCAGCTTCTTACCTCACACATGATCTTGATATGGGTGACTTTCATGCGCACTTTTGGGGTGCTGCTGGCTCCAGCCGGCATAGCATCAGTCCCGGATTTAGGTTGGTCAGTCAGGACAGACAGCACAAAATCACCAGGCTTGCTAAGGCTCTCACGCACCAAGAAGGTCCATGGGGCAGCCTTGGTTTGGAGCATGGTTTCAGCCGCTGGACCAGAAAGATGCCCATGGTACCACCTGAGGAAAAGGAAGGGGAAAAGGATTACTTAGGCTCCAGGAAAAGAGGGTGACAGTGGCTGGAACATGGCTGGTGTAATGGAAACTGCAGGGGACATGTACAGTTCAGGGAAAGGAAGGAAAAGGAGACATATCAGATGCCCTGGGAAGCCTAGTGCTATCCCAAGTTCAGCTGGAACAACAGTTCAGTACTGAAGTTAGACCCTTCCTTCTTTCTTTTGCACAGGACTAAAAACATTTTGAGATGCCTGTATACCTTATTGTCACTAAATGCTCTCCACTGTGGACATGTTAATGAGCTTCTATTAGACGCTTCTTTTCTTCTTCTTCTTTCTTATTCCATAGCCTCTTTACAAGGAAAAAGCATCTGGCATGTTCATGAAAAAGTGCTTTATTATGGGAAAATGAATCATGCCACTTGTATAAACAACTCCATAGAAACTGAGAGGCTCGAAGTATTAGCCTTAGGAATGTACTGCACAAAAAGAAAAATGTGACAGTATGACCTTTCCTTTAGGGGTGATCTGTGCTGTTCGGAATCCAGTACAGAAAAGTAGTAGATCATCTCTGGGAAAGAACTGGGCCTATTCTGGGGTAGCCCCAAAGCTTTCACAAAAAGTCAAGCCAGGGCATCACCATTTCAGTAACAATATTCTTAACAGTTGTGTTGAATACTTAATCCTGTTCTTCAACCAGGAGTACCGAGTGAGTAGTAAAAACATGCAACATTAAGACTGCAAAATGAAGAACATAGAACAATTAAAATCCTTAAAAGCAGAAGCATTATAATTAAAATCTGTCTACTTAATGTTAATGTTTGACATAGCAATGATAATATTAGTAATAATAATCAACTACAGTAATTTACAAAGCACCATTACAACTGTTTCCTATTTATTACCTCTACCTCAGCAATCTTTATCACACTACAATAAAGTAAGTCAACTTATCACATTACGAAGGCCAAAGGTCCCAAGACCATGTTTGCCTGGAGAACACATGAGCACCACTAGGACTGGATCCTAATCAGTTGCAGCAACGCACGAGAGTTGAGGCAAAACCACTCTGAGAAACACGGAAAGCAACAACCGCCGCAGCCGGGGGGCCCTCTGCAGGCACCACCAGCTTCATCAGTCATGCCAGAAATCCCCCCTCAGTAGTCAGGCTCAGAAGGATCCAACAGACAAGCAAGGATGGGCAGACGCCCCGAGCACCACCCTCTGAGGGCACACAGCTGTGCCAGCCCTGTGTGATGCTGATGGGATCTTATGCTGGCACGGCACTCCCAGGCTGACACAACCCTGAGGAATCTTTGGGCGTGCAGGTTTCCCATTCAGTGAACCCCAACTGAAGGGAACCTCAGAAAGTTAATATGCTGTTGCATGCTCACGGACTACTCAGATGTGACAGAAACGTGCCATCTGAACACCGTGCAGAAAAGGCTGTTTGTGGGGGAAGGGTTTGGAGCAAAGAGGCTAGGTTTAACACCTCCCACCCCATGTTTGTCCTCTCAAAATTTCTGTCTCCCAAAGGGGCTTTTCTTCTTTTTAAAAAAAATATGACATAGTGAGACACTGTGACACTGTGGTTCACTGGAGAGCAAATTTGGACACAAGAGATGACTGCTCAGCCACCTGGCCAGCGGCAAAGTGTCTTCAGTTCAAGGGGTGACATGTCTTACTAAGATCATGGAAACTGGGGGAGAGCAACAGATATATTCAAGATTATGCTGCGTGAACCAGAAAAGCGACAGCCCTCCCTAAACTGTATTCCTGAGATCTCCATTACCAATGACATGTGAAAGGGCTCAAAGTGTGTTTCCCATTTAACCAAAAGGCACTGCAGTTTCATTACATTCTTTGCCCGCATTTTGTTTGAAAGAGTACAGCTAACTGCCTCACAGACAGACAGACAGACAGACAGACAGACACTCACACACACACAACAGCCCAGCACCGTACTACACACTGTTAACTATTACTTCTGAGCCATCTCCTTAGTTCTGCTGTTTTCAGGCAACACAAATTAATGTAGCGCTTTATATCTGTACTTCTCTGTAACAAGCTGAAAAAAATCAAGCGTGCAAGTATCACATAAATACTGGCAGAATAGAACTGAATTAAGATCGGGGCAGGAAATAATGCAAGTGGGAAAAGCACTAAAAAGCACGCAACATTTCTTAAGACTGAAATGTCTGAGAAAACCACAAGAAGTTAGCTTCATGGTGGAGGGTATTCCATGCTGTCGGGGCCATCACTGGAAAGCATTTCTCTGTTGGCCACCCGCTTCACCTCCGGTGTCAGGGACACCCAAGAAGAATCTCTAAAGCTGCCACATCTGGGCTGAAACGTGTTAGCCCTCTGCCAGGCCATTGCTGAAACAGCCACTGGCTCGCCAGGGCTGATGAAACATGGAGATGCAGCTGGCCTCGTTCAAGTATGGATGACACCTTGGCCTGTACCTCCAGATAAACTCACTCAGCACTGTCTGCATCTAACAGTGAGGGGTCCTCTTGAGCCCCAACTGGCAAGGAGCAGAGCAATCGTCCTGCAATAGCACTTTTGAGAATCCAGCATCCAGTACGTGGAGCAGGAGAAGCCTCACTGCACTTGACCTGGAGGGCTCAAGGACCTCTCTGAGAGCGGACGGTCTTCTGCGTAAAGCTCTCTCCTGTCCAATCCCAGGTTAAAGATGAAGAATCAGGAACATCAGCCCATCCACAGTGAGCACCTGAGTGCAAACTGCACAGGCCGGCCACTGAGCCCCTGGTCACAGACCTCCACATGGCAGCGAGTTGTACTGCACAGCTATTTTTTATGTATGTATGAATGAATGAAATTTGTATGCCATCCAATTACCAGCGTCTCTGGACAGCTAACAACATAAATAAATTAACGACCCTCTCTGGCTGCAAATCCAATAAAAGAACCCAAAGGGCAGGGGAAGTATTTGAAGTCTCTCTGGGCAATGCCCAGTGTTAAAACGTGCTGCACCTTGGCAGCGGGTATTCCCCTCAAGATATGGTCCCAGCTGAGGCTTACAAAGCTTGCACTCACAGATTGTGAACCTCTGCAGGTGCACAAATATAGCAGTTTTGTTTTTAAAATGCACGCATGTTTATGGAACTTTTTCCAATTTTTCTTTTTTAAAAAGTCCTGCCAGCCACTGCCTACCCAAGTAGCACTTTGAAGGGACTGTCAGTGGCTGCCTAAACAGGAATTGTGGAAGCCAGTGGTCAAGCACAGAAATTCCTGTACAGAAACACAGAAAGATACTTAAAAGCCTCACTGAGAGCATCTGAATTTAAATAAGTGGAGCAGATAATACAGGGAACATAGTACTACTCAAATCTACTACTCAAGGAGAAGAATGAAAACGAAATTTTTGAAAAGCAAAGGAGGCATGATGCCGCAGTAATGGGAGCCTCCATATCCCAGGCTGTGAGTCAAATTCTGCTAAACATGGCCACTTCAAGAAATTCCTGACTCATGTTGCTGAAATTAGGATGTACAGGAGGAACAAGAGGATTGATTTGATTCTAACCAACAGGAATGACCTATCAGATACAGTGGTAGCTACAGGAACTCTGAGGGAAAGAGATGACATCATCCTTAAATTGTTTATTTTAAAGGAAGCAAAAGCCAAGTGTAGACTAATGTGAAGCTTGGATTTTTGGAAAGTCAGTTTTAATAAACAATTATTAAGTAAGTTTCCATGGCAAGAACCTCAAATGAGAAAAGGTATCCAAGATCAGTGGGAATTTTTAAAAAAGCAAATTCTAAAGGCACAAGTAAAAACAATTCCAGTAAGAAAAGTGTGAATTGGTCAACCACAAATCTTACTGGTCTACTCTAATCTCACATATTCACTGGGAAACCTCCCTTGTGGATTGTGGGAATGCTGCGGGCTTAATGGCTGTGCTCACAAAATACAACATGCAACCCTGTGTGGGTTCTGTGGTTCACGTTTTAAAAACATAATCTATCTGACAGATGATCAAGTGGCTTCTGCATCATCCTCCCTGCTGGATGGCTACAGAAGCTCCTGTAGTTACCTCTCTTTCCAGGAGACTCTCTGGTAGTTGTATGCCACTCTCTGCAAGGAGCACAGAAACTATGATCCTGGGTTCAGACAACATGGCAAGCCATGGTGGTACAGAGAAACCATAGTACAAACCATTTTTTCCATATCATGGTTATTAAAGATTAAACATCTCATAGTGAAATAGCTCAAGTGGGCTTGGACAATATGAGAAACCAACAGTGGTAAAAACCTCCAACTGTTTCTTATCATGTTGTCTGAACGCAGCCAATGTATCCTTACCTCAGTAAAGCTTTTGATAACATGCCCCAAGATAATCTGATTAGTAAAGTAGCTAAAAGTGAGCCAGATGGAACAACTCTCAGATGATCCACAGTTGATGACACAGAATCAGACTCAAAGACTGCTTATCAATGGCACCTTCTCAAACTGGGGAGAGGTAACAAATGGGACACCACCACTGGGCCCAGTGCTCTTCTCCATCTTTAATAATGATTTGGATGAGGAGGTACAGGGAATGCTTATCAAATGTGCAGATGAGTATGCAGTGATGGCAAAATTAACTAAGTAAGTAAATAGAAAACGTGACTGAAGAATTTAATGACAAATGGAAATTCTATTATACCCAGTACAATTAATAGGATGTAAAAGGAAGTTCTTTAAAAAGTAGCAGATGAAGATAGTAGAATTCTGTTGGTTGAAGTCACAATGAAACTCAAAAAGGTGCACCAAATGATCACCAGGAAGCGTTTTACCAAAAACTACATACTCTACTTTTGCAAATGGATTATCAAACTCTGTGCTTTATGGGAGACTTCAATGCAATTGTAGATAAAAAATAGACCATAAGAGTGAGACTAAGGAGAAAAAAGGTAGGAGGATACTTCCAAAGTCTTGCTTTAATATGTTTGAAGAATTCAGACTGACAGATGCTTGGAGACATAAAAATTCAACTTCTG